TCAATGTATTCCATTCATGATTGTGCAATAAATACTCATATATTAATATTATTTATACAATTAATGCCAATATCCATAAACGTAATTGATATAAGTTTTCATTAACACTGCGATAATCTCCAATTAAAAAAACAGTTATACATTTTAAATTTTTACAAAACATTACGAATAATTTTATTTTTTCTATATTTTCCTCGAAAATAAAATAAAAACCCTCATAAAATATAACGAGAAAATATAAAACTCTTATTGAGTTGTCTGAATGATGATAATAATGACTACATACCCTTAAAATTTGGTAAGGTATTGGAATATTTGTTTAGATTTTTAACACTTGAAGATGGTCATCTGTAAGTAAATATTATTTTATCTATTCAGATACAAGTACAAAACGACTGACACATTGTTAAAAAGTTTATTTACTCTATTGATTGATATGACCAGAGCTAAAATTTGTACACAACAGCATGTTTTTTTTGCTGCGTCTAAATGGAGTTTTAGTGAATAATGTCCACGATTTATATTATTCTGATAAAATCGTACTATTTTTATTTTACATATTTGTTCATACGAGTATATTAATATTAATGCATATTTTTACATATTTAGTATGATCGATTTTATTGTATTTCAACCGGGAATAATTAAATTAATCAAAGTACATAATTTGGTTATTTGTTCAAAGATTAATTTTAAATCTTTATGAAAGTTTGAAAATTATAATAAATGCCAAGGATCGATTTCTTGAGTGTAAATATCCTTAAATTTAAAAAAAAAAATAAATGATTTAAAACTGTAAAATCATTTTCAGTTACAGATTTCAGTTGTAATACAACACAAGAACAATTTCCTTTATTTAAAAATGCACCACATTATGTTACGTTGAAAGAAGCGTCAGCCAATAAAAATTAGTAATGTAACTATCGATTATTTATAATACAAATATTTAAAAATAATATTTGTTCGTAGCAACACACGAATATAACAAGTACAATAATATACAATAATTAACAAATATATGTGAAAAATATAAATAATTATTTTTTAATTTTTAATCTCAGTTATAAAATACAAATTATAATAAAGTTACATTATATTAAAGCAATCACTGATTTATTTTAATAAATACATTTTTTTCTCTAAGTATATTTTTAGTATATTTTTATGTATCTTTAAAAATAATAAAATGCATATTTTTGCATATTTGAAGAAAAAACTGAATATCTCCTTGTTTTTATTTGGCTACAGATCCTAGCCCTGGATACAACAAAATGTAATATATATAATATAATAATATGTATACATTTATATAGTATGTAATGTACAATAATGTTATCTAGTGTATTTTATCTTAGTATTATTTCTTTAAATTTATGCAGTCTTCTCGATATGTATTTTAATAACCCCATTCTAGATATTGATTACCATTACAGTAGATTTTTGGTCTATCAATAATTTTTGTAAATAGTTATAACAACACATCTCACAATTTTAGATTAAGTCAAAATTCAATAAATATAATACTTTTTTAAATGAATCATCTTCATATTGTAAAACACATAAAGCATAAAAAAATATAATAGTTCATTGATGTGTACAGCTCAGTGTTAATTGTTTTGGGTTATTAATATAGCTGAAATTTTAAAACTATAAAAAACATATTTAACTATATTTATTTAACATAATACTAATAAAATAGATACCTATTTGTTTAGTATTTTTATTTTATTTAACTTTATTTAAATTTGATCGTCGTTGGACTCATGCAAATAGAAAAATGTCTTTCGGCTATTTTAATTTTGTTCTATATAAGATAAAATATGTAAATGGACCGATGTTCTAATATAAAATATATAAATATATAAATTTAGTAGATTGCATACTAAACGTGCAAGTTTTAAGCAAACAAATGCCGAAACGCGACATCAAATACCCTAATAGATAAATTCTGAAAAATGTTCTAAAACCTTAAAAAATGCTATAAAAACAACAAAATATGTCCTAAAAATGCATAACTTAAATTTGTCATAAAATTTAAAAAAAAATTGCAAAATAAAAACTACATTAAATTAATCAGTATTACTTGAAACACATTTTCTGCTTATGGACCTACATGTTGGGACGTTAGTAGAAAAGATGCATTTGCATCAAATTCCCAGCCCTAGTTATTAATATAAGCTTATAGTTGCATTCTAAATTTCCCAAAAACTTTAAAAACTTAAAAATAAGAAATACTAGATGCTATTATTTACAAGTCAAATGTTACCATTGATCAAAACTATATGACTGAATATAGTTAATGAACCACACTTATTTACAATTATATAAGATATTTTATATGATATTCTATAAGACTATCTTTAAACAATTAACATATGCAATAAGTACCTTAAGCGTTAGGAAAGATTTAAAGATTTTATATATTTGCAATTATTTATAAGAGTAAAGCAATTAAAAACAATGTTAAGTATACAAAAAAAAGTTGACGTAAACAACGATAACCATTTGACCATCTTCATATTAACTATCATGGTAATAAATTATAAATTTGATAACATAAATAATTATAAATTATCAAGGAAGGAAAAATAATTATTGATAAAAAAAGTTTATCGATAAAGAACCTTGATATTATTATCTGATTTTAAATAAATACATAAATGTAGGGTATTTTCAGTTCAAAAAGACATTTTTATTATTTTTCTTTAATATATATAATACTATATATTAGGTAATACTATGTATATATAATATTCTTTAATATTAAATCACTTAATATTAAATTAATTTAAATCACTTTCTATAGTATAATAGTAATCTGGAATAAACCATGAGCATTTCACATTAATCCAAAATATTTTTAATTTGCTTGATTCTAGAACAATTGTTATACTTTATTAAAACTATGTTCCTATTTAATAAAAATATTTTTATATATATTAAAATTAAAAGATAAGGCTTATGTTAATCGCATCAATTATTAAGATACGCACTATTAAGAAAAAAAAAAAGAAAAAACATTATATTCATTTGAATCGTTATAACATAATCACTATATCTCAAAAAAATGTGACCATAATAATAATTTTTAATATTGAAAAACAGTATTATATTATATATATAAACTTATATGTAATATATAATATATATAATTATTAAAATTATTATTATTATTTAGTTTATCATTAAAAAATACACTTATCAATAATTTATAATGTATTATGGTAATTATAATAAGTGATTGGTTATTATATTATATTTTTGATAAAGCTAAATATTATAAAGTTTATTAATTTCACATTGATGTAATTTACTAAAAATATTTGTTTTCCATATTACTTGGGTTTATTTTTTGATAGTGATCTTCTTAATATTTCACTAGTACTATCTATTAGTTTGGTATATTTTACACGAGAAATATGTTTTTAAATTTTAACTATTACTACAAAGCAGGGATAAGTAAAATTGTTTTAACATCGATATTCGATGAACCAATACATCAATTTTTAAAATATCGATGTGTTCGATATATCGGTGAAAAACCATCGATGTTTAAGAATATCGAAATTTAGAAACCTAAAATTTTTTTTCCCTCTAGAGCTAACATCTGTTACACACCTTATTATCTGTACAGTGTACTATTTTCTTGATTAAATAATAAATTTAAGGGTTAAAATACTATTGTTTAACTTTTTAAAAACATATTAAATACTTATAATTAGGTCTCGTAAGTTCATGCATTTGCATGTTTTCTTTGTTACATCGAAAAATATGCTAATTGAGATAAAAATCCTTTTCATAATAATGGTAATAAAAATCTTAAGTTTAATTGAGCATGTTCTTGCATTTTTTTTTGTGTATTGACATATTTGCCATATAGTTGATTTTTTTTTTTTTGAGTTATTAGCGCATATTATTTTATGTAAATTCAACGAAATAGTTTTTTATGGAAGTCAAAATAAAATTAGATCAATAAATGTTTGAATTCATTCTTATTTACTTTTCCGAACTTGTAAAGTTAAAGTTAAAAAAAAATCTTAGTATTTTATCAATATTTTTATTTTTAATGACATTAAATTTTTTAAGTTAAAAGCAGTATCACGAAAACAATGTTATTACATACTACCACTCTCGTTTTACTGACGTGTTCATTGCAATTTATCTATTTTTATCGCAACGTGTGTTCATTAATTATAATTTTAATAAAATGTAACCGAAGAAAAAATATAACTTTTGAAAATATAAGTGGATAATTCTTATAATTTTAAAAAATCCTTAAACATTTTTTTTCGTTTATAGTTAAGGATTTTTAATACATATCTGATCAAATGATAGTGCATTATTGTATGGTTATTTATGCGTTTTTAGTATATGAACTTACAAGCCCTAATTATAACTGTATAGTGTATACTGTATAACGATTATTGTATACTGCACACTAAAATAATGAAAACAAAAAAAATTCAAACTTTACGAACATAAACATCGATGTTTATTCGATTAATCGAAAACAAATCATCTATGTTGAAACATCGGATATATCGACCCAAAACATTGATGTTTTTTCCCATCCCTACAACAAAGTTAAAAACTACTAAAAATTAAAAAAAAATTTTTTACTTGTTTGGTAAGAGTCTTTATGTCAATTTTTTTATATATTAAAATTATAGATCACCTCAATATAACATTACAAATAATTGTATATACTTATGAAATCATTTGTATTAATACTAAATATGGATATTTATGTACATTAAATAATTATAATTTGTAAATAAGTTTAGAATAAAAAACCTACGAGTTCATTTTTAAACAAATAAAACTTTAATAATAAAAATAACATTTTAATCTAAAAAATTAAACATTTCTAATTTAAATATTATAAGAAATTATAAATTGATTTTGGTACAAAGGAATTATTTGTTAATAATAAATTTCATCGTTTTTGAACGGTTATAATATTATTATTTACGTCCTTTTTCAACATTTTTTTTTTTTAGATTTTTGGTGACTCTCATACACTTTATAAAAGGAAATATTGGTTGTGGAATGTTAGCTATGGGACAAGCCTTTCGGCTCGGAGGCTTATGTCTTACTTTATGTATTTTGTTGTACGTGTGGCTAATTTGTGTCTACAATATGCATATTTTGGTAATTAATCTTTCTTCATTTTATTCATTACTTTCAAACAAAGAAATTATAATAACACATAATTCTCACATTTTATAATATTACAAAAATATATATAGGTAATGAAAATTTTTACATTTATAAATATTAATTTATTGGACAAATTTTATATTTAATTTAATTGAATTGATGAAATACTGATGAATAATTATAATAAATCTGTCTAAAGACTACATTAAGCAAGAAAGTTCAAAACCGTTTGCAGTCTAAACGAGCACAGTCATTTGGCGATACAGTTGAAAATGCATTCAAAATGTCCGACAAGTGGATATTTCGTATTATATCTAATAGTATTCGGTGAGTATTTAAACAAAGCAATTTAATACTACAAATTTAAATTATTTTATTTTTCTTATAGAAAGATTGTTTTGTATAATATACTTATCACACAAATTGGTTTATGCAGCGTTTACATTCTTTTTATCAGTGAAACATTGCAAGAGGTAAATTAAAAATAATCTGTCATTTTATATCAAATAGGTATCTATTTTTCACAATCTTAAGTTAGTAAGCTGAAGTTTAACGTATATGCGTAGTAGATATTTCTATAAATACATCTCAAATTTTAAGCAAAATTACTACTCAAAAACATTTGAACTTATGATTTTAAGTATTACGAATAAGTAACTATGAGGATTAATAAACTACTTTTGATGTATAAAAAACAATGAGTTTTACATTTGTATTTTTATCAAAACAAGTGATTTACTCAATTAATGAATTTGACTATTATTAACTATATAATATATAATATATTACTAACCTGTTTATAATATAATTATAAGATACATTTACCATTTAAACATTAAAATCGATTGAATCGACCAAGGTATTTTTTTTTTAAATAGTATTTTCTTCAATATATTTAGATTTTAACATATATAGTTATATATTTAGTATTCCTATGTACAACTAAAATTTGTTTAAATTTATATCATTATATTATATATACGTATAATTATTCTGACACTTTATTCTCTAAATCTGTAAGTTGCTTTATTTTCCTAATATTTACTTATTGGTTATTTAATTCGGTTTCTTTTTGTTTTGGTTATTTTGCAGCTATTAAAACAATATACATGTGAAATGGATAGACATTTTGTTCTATTATTGACAATGCCTTTGATAATGGTATGTGCATGTTTAAGAAAATTGCGATTTATAGCACCATTATCAACTTTGGCCAATTTTGCATTGGTTACTGGCGTTATCACAATAATGTATTATAGCTGTTCTGATCTAGCATTAGATAACCGTAGATTATCATATGATAAATTATCTGAATTACCCACGATGTTTGGAATAATCATGTTTAGTTTTGAAGGAATTGGATTGGTAAATATATAAATTTTATTATATTAGTTGATATTCATTATTTAATTGTTATTTATAGTCATATTTAGATTATAAATCAATAATTACAAATTAGTCTTATAGTATAATTAAAGAATGAGCTATTTTGTGAAAAAAAATTTTAAAAAATAGAAAGACATACACTTCGAGTAATTTCATAAATTTATGCCAAATTAATAAACCATTAAATGTAAGATCATATTTACAGAATTTTTTTTTTTTCAAAAAAAATGTAGTCTTATAATATACTCGTATATTGATTTAAAACTTCAATGTTATCATACATCTTTTGCAATACGGCGTATATGGTAGGCAATTCTCCTACATCCTAGTATAGAAAGCTATTTTACAATATTTTATTAATTATTAAAGTTTTTATTTTAATATTTTGTTGTATATAATATATATTATATATTAGGGGTGGCCAAATTGCGGCTCACGAGCTGCATATGGCCATCGTCATAGTCATATGTGACTCACAGTCTTATTTACAAAAACCAAAATATTTTAATTTTTTTGTATACATTGATAAAAAAAAAAAAATTATTGCATAAATATAAGGCTATAGTGTACAGATTAATAAACAAAAAAAAATTAATTTATATGAATAATAAATTAAAAAATTAAACATAAAGTTAAATTTGTTTGCGTGGTATTTTTTTCGTGTCTACTTTTTTAGTAAGTTTCTTAAGATCTGGTTGAATTGATGTAAGAGTAGTTCTTAGTAATTCTGTGAGATGATCATCAGTCAAATTTGAATGATATTTTGACTTAAGTATTTATATATATATATGTTTATCGACTGTTTTTTTTTTTTGGTTTATTGGGTATTTAAGACCATCCCGTCTCACAACCAAGCTTCCATCCTACTCTATCCAATGCCAGATCTCTCCAATTAGAAGCACCACCTAAATGTTCAACGTCCTTCTTTATATTGTCTTCCCATCCCATTCTTGGTCTTCCCAGAAGTCTTTTATCTACAAGGTTTTGTTCAATCACTGCATGTAATAGTGGATTTTGGCTCCTCCAAGCGTGGCCAGTCCACTGTAGTCTTCTGCTTCTGATGACCTCCAATATATCTGAACTGCTGTATAATGTTTTCAGCTCTAAGTTCTTTCTTCGTCTCCACTCCCCAGTTATTTCATCTTTGACCGGGCCATATATTTTACTCAGCACTTTTCTTTCAAAGACCAAGAATCTTTGCTCGTCCATTTTTCTGAGTGGCCATGTTTCCGATCCATACACTACAACCGGACGTATTAAGGACGTATATAATTGTTCTTTCAATCTTCGCGTTACTGCTCGTGAGCTTAGTACCTTAGTCAGTCCATACTAACATTTATTCCCAGCTTGGATTCTTGCTGCTACCTCGATTGATACATTATTTTTTTCAGACAAAATAAAACCTAGGTATTGGTATAATTCATATTGATCTATTTTTATGTACTGAAAAAAAGGTATTCCTTTTTTGTCCCTTTTTTCAGGTTGTCAACTGTTAACTATCTTAATTACTTTTGTGGTATAAAAGTACAAATTAGATAATTTGACTCTTAATATAATCTTATTAATACATATGGCTCACGCAAATAGTCATGTTGGCCACCCCTGATATATATTACGTTTACAATGAACAACTGCGATAAATATGAATATTTGTAAATGACTTAACATCTGATCTTAAAATCATTTATTCTACGAACTGTCAACAATAAATTAAAACTTAGTCTACACATGAAAATAATAATGATATGTTTTATTCTTTAATATACTACGAGTATAATCAATTTGTATATTATTATAATTCAATACATAATAAATTTAAATTCATTCGATAGCTATTTTAACAGACAAATTAAATAACAATTATTATTTATTATATAAATATTAATTTTTTTATTTAACTTACAATGTGTTTATTATAGGTTTTACCACTGTTTGCGGAAATAAAAAATGATAAGAGATTTACATCATGCTTTGGAGTTTTGAATTTTGGTATGGTAGCTGTTATGATGTTGAACGTTTCTTTAGGTATGACTGGCTACATGAAATGGGGAGACGATGTAGAAAGTAGTTTAACAAAAAATTTACCATACGACTCTAAGTAAGTTTTAATAAAATTTATTAATTATATTATTATAATATTATTTATTTATACAGCATTTAATGCTGTATTTTTAATAAATAGGAAGATAGATACGAAGATAGATTTTTTTTATAATTCTCATATTTAATAGTACAATAAACATTTAAATAGAGAGTTCGTTAAAAATAACTTTGTGTGAATATAATATAAAGGTTTCTTTTTTTAGTTTAAAAATAAATTTAAGATTCATATTTTTATAAACACAATAAGTAAATATACAATTATACTTTCTAGGAATATGAGTAGATTTCTAACAATAAACTTAATTAGGAAAACTATCGAGAAAATAAAATGTATGGTTTAACCTAATCAAACCAAAACTAATATATATATAATTTTTTTAAATTTATTTATTACATTTATGTTAGTAGACTTCGATACCATCATCTTTTGATATGACGTAGATGGTTGTTGAAAATAATTAAATACTATTACATAAAATCAATTTTTATTTTAAAATTTGAATAATTTCATTGAAATATTGATCACAAAAATATTACTTAAACTACTTTTGAGTAAACAAATAGTAAGTTTTTAGGGAATATATTCCAAATTTAATACACACGTATAAATATAGAACAATTTGCAATTTATTCTTTATTTGTAATAACTCGCTTGTTTAATAGTGATGTGAAATAAATCCGGATTATCCGAAAATCCGAATTTACAATAAAATCCTGATTTCGAATTTCGAATTCTGAAAATCCAAATTTTCAAAACTGGATTTTTTCCAACACTAATGTTTAGTAATATATTCTGAGATCAAAATTAAAATTAATTTATTTAGTAGTAATCTGTTGATTCTAAACATATTTTATTTATCCAACAGACTAACGCAATTTGTAATTCTCATGATGATATTGGGTATAGCTTGTTCGTATGCACTTCAATTTTACCCTGCTGCCATAATTATCTATAGTCACCTTGAAAATAATCATGGTCCATTTAATCGGCCGGCTCTATGGGATTATGGTATTCGAATTTCTGTATGTCTCATCACTTGTAAGTAGATTATTTATTTATTTTTAATTTAGTCAAACCAATATATAGTCTTATAAATAGTTTATATAAAAAATAAATAAGTGTTTTAGAGATTTATTAGTTTTTATAAATATTAAATTAATACCTCAAATATATATATATAAAGTATACCTATTATTTTTAACTTTTATTATCCCTTTGATTTTACAATATTCCTTTTTTGCGCAAAAATTATAGTTTCTTATTCTCACCTTCGGTTTAGCCATAATCGCCTTTTGGTTCACTCCTTTTATTTATCCTTGAATTATTCTTCTTATTGTATTTATCCTGAGAACCTTATTATATGAAACACTCCCCAACTACTGTTTAATCATCCTGATCTTTTACATAATCACCGTTTTCATTCCATCTCTTTCCATAATGTTCCAGTATTATATTTACGCCACCAATTATCTACCAATTATCCAACGTACCTTTCATTAAAACCATCTCCAACTTTTTCATGTTCGAGAGTTTTTTATTATAATTTAATTTTTTGTATATCATCAATTAATGGTTGTGACTTAAATATTTTGTAATATACATTTCTAAAAATAATCAATCAATTACAATATTACATGGCAAGATTTACCTTTGTCGACTTTTAATGGAACGAAACACAAATCGTTTGATAGTTCATTTTATTCATAATAGTTCAGCCACTTATTCGTACAAATAAAAATTATTAATAAAAATCTATATAATTGTATTCAAGAAATTAAAAACGGCATCACTTATGGGATAACTGTTTTCAGAAAAGTTGATTTTTTAGCGTCGTAACTCAAAATATAACAATCGTAGTAACTTGCAATTTTTATTGAATGATATAATATCACCGTTTCACTGGAGACGTAATAATTATGTTATCTTTAAATAAATACAATAATAATAATAATTTTAACTGTTAATAATAAATAAATTTTAAAAATCAAAATTCAAATACAGTGGTATCACTTAGACCGGACCTAGGTAAACATGATCAATTTTAATAAGCTGAAAAATAATTGTAATAGTTCGCTATAGAAACGCGTAAATGCATAGGTAATTAAGAATAATAGAGATACTAAAATAATGTAATATTATATATTGGCAACTACGATGCCAATTCGTGTTTCTTATTATATTTTTGATATTTATAGTTAAATTAATGTAATCTTATTTTTGCAAGGCCGACCTTATAATCGTAAGCCTCAAATTTGCTATTATATAGTAAAAAATCCTGGCGCTACTACTGTTCAAACATCATACTTATATTATTTTCGATTAGAGTTAGAGATTTAACCAACCGGTATAAAAAATTATAAGATACTATTCAACACTAATTAACATAAAATATCTGTAATCGTAGATTAATCTACCTGTTATCCTTCGCTCAGAACCATTTTTCGAAACCTATGGATTTTATATTTACCAGTAAATAAGAACAATTTAACCGTTCTTGTATCTCCCCCACTCCTGTATCTTCGGACAACACATGCTAGTAATTTTTATTTACATGCACTTTTGTTATAGATCTGGCAGCGAGTACGGTACCACATTTAGACTTGTTTATGTCATTAGTCGGTTCAGTTACATGCGTTGCGCTCACCATGATTTTCCCAGCGCTATCTAATTTGGCGTTCCGATCGAAAGACAAAGGCTCCGCAATCTGTACAACTGCAGACATGGTCACCATACTCACGGCGGTCATCGGTTCCGTCACCGGAATTTACGCCAACTCAACGGCCATTTATAATAAATTCACAGAAAACCATAGCAATGGCTAAGTGCGTGCAACGTGATTGTTTGGTTTGTTGAATTTATATTCTTCATCACTCTGTGCCATCACCATTATCATCGTATTTTATTTTTTCTTGTAAACTAACTATCGATTATTCTCGATAGTTATTCCTTTATTTGGATAAATGAAATAGACGAAGTGAAGGTGAAAGAAATAGAGGAAGATAAAATTACAACGTGGAATAAAGAACAATAAGAAAAAGTGAAAAATTAAATCTCAGCATAAAACTATTATTCAGTATTAACATTTTGTGTTACCTTTATTTATCTTTATATTATCCGACCACGTATATATAACTATGTATGCTTGAAAACTTCTTAAATTCATCAAACATACGACTAAATTAAATTGTTTTCAATAAGTTATGGTAATTAATTTAATGGATAACTGAATAGAATGTGGCTAAGACAAAAATAAAATTTATTAATATATGATTTAAATTTTTTTTTAATTTTGTATATATAAAAAAATTAATTTTAAACATTTTCAAAAAATGTATATAAAAATTAACATTTTAATTAATTATTGTACTATTTAAATATAAAATATTGCTTAATTTATTTCAAAACCAAATACATTTTGATTGGTAACTTGCCGATTTAAAATACGTATATAACTATCAATAAACTTAAACACTTAGCATAAAACAATATCAGGGAACGTTTTAATTAATCGATTTAAGTTATATCTAAGTACACTATTACTAAATTCCAATAATTAATATTAATTAATACTTTAATATCTACATCTAAATTATTAAAAATGTATATAAATATACCCACTCGTATATCATAAATGTATACCATTATCCATAATTTGAGTAAGAATTTAAATTTATATTGTATATAAGTTTAGAAATTATATTTAAATGTTTTGTTGTCTTTTATGATAAGTTTTATAATTTTAATTCTTACGGTTAGTTACATCTCTTTTGCTAATTCATTGATATAGAAGCAAAGCGCTTTTATCGTCAGTTCATAACTTTAATCATACTGTAATATCGAAAGAATAACTGATGCTATATTACATTTGAAGTTTTTGAACATGTTTTTAATACATTATATGTTATATTATAATATTATTAAAAATTATATTTTAATATATGTATTATATTACATTCTAATTTTATCACTTTAACTAACATTAATATTTATGCAATACTAATGATTTTAAACATCTTTCAAAGTAATATATTATTATCTACCATTGTACAACATATTCAACATTGAACATAGTTCTGAATATAAACTATATTTTCCAATTTCTATGTTTAATTGAAGATGAAACAAATGTTCTGTTTAATAATTTGATAATTGCCTACAGGTATTTACGCAATGTTATTTTTAATACTTAATTAGTTAAGTTTATTTTATAAAATGCGATAAAAGTGAAGTATACATTTACATAGGAACATTATATTAATTGTATTGTTTTATGTTAAACTTATCTACCGAACAGTTATAAAACTTTGTAATGCGTATGTTATAATAACTCATTGTTAACTAGTACGAGAAATATAATAATTATTTCTTATTTGAGCTCGAACGAACATATGTAAAGTTTTTTTTTTGGATATGAAGGTACTTATTTTTACATAGGTACATTGTTAGAAAATACAAATTTTTCAAATAATTACATTTATATAACTAAAATAAATGAATGCATTAAAATTTCTAAGAAAAATGTTGCATTAGTATACGATTACCTTATAAGATAATAATATAATAATAATAAAAGCACTTATTCCCTGCAACGTCCAATGGTAGAATTTATTTAACGTTTTTTTTTTTTTTTATTTATACCATTTTTCTGGCTTAGTCATCTAAACTTCTGTGTAAATAATTGAATTTTTAACAATATGTAAATTGGATCACAGTATGGCATATGTAGTTATAATTATGGATTAAAAATAGAAAAAAAAAATACAGAAGAGTACCTAGTAATTTTTACTTTATGAAACAATTTATCAGTTAAAGAAAATAATATACAAAATAAACATTATTAGTTTGTATTATTTCATTTTTATTATTTTATTAGTTGGTCACCTTTGTCTAATACCTGCGTAAATTGCGGCAAACAACTCCACTTTCGTAAAATTTATCGCAACGCCATCTCCAACAAAAACAAGCTCACCCATCTCACTAATTTCATTGAAAATAAGCTCTTTTTGTTTGGGTACCTACTAGTTTTCCCATAGTGTGATTAGAAACGTAAAAAAAATTTTCTGTATGAATTTTGTGTTTGTGCCTTGATCGCCCTGTATTGAATATATACAATTATTTATCCATAATTTATATATTCGATTTTTGTGACTGACGACCATTATGTTCGTTATTTGTCCGCCATTTGCGTAATTTTACGTGAATACTAACCATAGACATGTAAATGAACTTAGTTTATATCTATGTCTATGGTACTATGAGGTTTTTGCCGCTGCAAGCTCCTTTTGCCACGTTTGTAAATAATGTATTGTACAATAATAGTTGCACAAGCCTGTTTGATGTTGAAAGTTCAACTAAGTTAAATGTGAGTATAACTTGTACTTCTAAATTTTACTTTACCTAATAATAAGGTTTTATGTATGAATGGTTTGAAAGCACAGTTAATTATGTACCTATTCGACCATGTGCTTTGATTGTGAATATAATGTAAAGAACACAATATATTCTTAACAGGATGCCATACCAAAAGTGAAACGGTATACAATGACCGAGAGAACACGCTATTTGATGTTTTTATGCGGCGCAAGAACGTAGTCATTCGTTATTGACACGCCCATTACTCGTTATGAGTATATATCAGTATAAATCAATTTTAAACTTTTAGGTAACTTAAAAGCGAATATATAAATAAAATAAAAAAACTAAAAATAAATATTTTAGATTATTTGAAGTGACCTACCCTCAAAAACTAATAGAAAACTTAAAAAAATACAAATATTTTAAAATAATATTTTAGAAACTTAATACTTATCATGCCTATTCGTGCTCTATTCAAGGAAATTAAAAAATTTACTGTAAATAATTAATTTAATAAAAACCAATTAAATATGCATGTTAGGTATATGCATTTATAAACAAATATGCAATATAAAATTTGATGTTTAAATTTGGTGTGAAATGAATCGTGGACATTTTAAAATTCCATAGAAATTCCATACACTTTATTACAATCTTATAAAAATAGTACTAAGTACATTTAAAATATATTTGTACATTATAGTAACTATCAACAAATTGTTCTTTTAGGCTATATTTAGAATATACACGACTTAAGATAATATTACAAATATAATAGTAGTAAGAATAGATAATCTACCTTTTGAATTTGCATATATTTCTCTGAAGATTCATTGTAAGTATACTATATTTTGTACTCATATTTTTTTTTAAATATTTGCTATATCTATTCCGAATAAAAATATTACAGCAGTACCAAATTTATTTTATAACTTATGAATACAATTTCATAATACATTTTTCTACAAAAAATTATTTAGTAAAAGACAAAATATAAAAACTGATATTAATATTTAATATAAAAATTCATATTAAATTAAAAAAAAAAAAAAAAAATTAAGATTTATTATAATTTAACATCATAAGTAATTTTCAACAATTAATTCTTTCATAAACATACAAATAACCTAAGTCAATAGGGGGATTTTGAGAAACTGCTACCTTTTCATCATTGAATATGACCCATTGTCCTTCTTTTTTAATATGACATACATAATGTCCAACCATTGAAGAACTACCCATGTGAGATATAAAAGCAATTAATTTATACACTGAAAAAACAATTACATTAGAAAAATAAAATTTTCAGTGGCTTATATAAAATGTTTTATTAAACTTACTTCCTCTACCATCCCTATATTTTGGTTTAGAACTTTCTGAAGTTTCCATGGAGTTTAATTCTTCTGGTCCATGACTCATTAACCAATCAAGTGCACGGTCCAAATTATTTTCAGTAGCCTTTAGTGCAGAAATCACATGATTTCGTTCAAAACCCATTGACATAATCATAGCAGCAGATTTTTCATCAGGTAAAAATTCTATAAAATAATTAATTCATTTAAAATGAATACATAAAAATGAAATATAGCTCTTTAACCTTCTTTTTTAACTTCTGTTCCTGGTGGTATAAAGGGATCGGAGAAATCGGGATCACTAATATGGTTCATAAGCCAATTTGAAGCATCATTCAAACCTTGATTTTTTGTGAAAAATACTGCACGTTTACATGCTTCTGGAGGGAATCCCATTTGTGTCAACTCAGATATTAAATTTTCATCAAACATAAATGATGAAGCATCTAAATTAATATAGAAATTAATAAAAATATAATCCATGATTAACCCAATACACTACAATGTTTTTTTGGAAATAAAATTAAAAAAATTATAATATGTATAATAAATGTGTATAAACACACCTGGAGTTTCTGCAATATCTGGCATAAGAATTTCACCTTCTTGTGGACCATTTCCTCTTAAATGACTAATATCCAATTCTTCAGGCATGTCAATAGATACATCTAATTTAATAGGCACCCAATCATGACGAAGTGTAAATTTTTTTAAATGTATCATAAGATAATCAGGAAATGTAGCAAGTCTTGTAGTTCTAAATTTATTGAACAAAGTGATAAAATTATAATTTAAGATTTAGAAGAATCAACACATTATGTATTATATAAATAATATTTAAGTAAAAATTACATACTTTTGGGCAGTTGTTCTTTGATTTAACGCAGTATTGAAAAATTGTTCAATAATTTCAGACTGAACAAAAGATTCTAAACATGATGATAATTTAATACAAGGTCGAACTATTTCATTTGTGCTGAAAAATAATAAAATACAAATTTCATGTTTAAAAACTTCAGTAAATTTGTTATTTCTAGAAGGTTCAATTATTATAATTATAACATTTAATTTTTGCCAATAGCTTAACGGCCTTCTCTGTAAGATGTACATACGAAAAATCAATATTTTTACTAATGAAGCAGAAATAAAAATAAAATGGCTATATCTTAAAGAAATTGAGAGTTCAAACCAAATCAATAATTAATAATATATTATAAGTAAGAAAGTTTAATACAAAGCACAATGAACATATAACTACTTAAATTAGAAGAGAAAATTTCATGTTTCTAATTCAATAAACAATCAAAAAAAGTTAATCTGAACAAAGTAAATAGTTAGACATTTAACAGTAATAGAATGGCTTGGAAATATACTACCAACTATAATATATCAGGTAACTTTAGAATTACAAGCCGATATTGAAGTCTAAAGATATGATGAATACTTCCCAAGATGGAATTGGTTTACGGAATCTCTTCCATGTAAAATTTAATATGATTAACCTAAATACAGTGCATGACACTTTTATACATTTTTATTTCTATACAGTAACTAACATGTTACTCTTTATAATCAAATACAAAAGTAAGATGCCTTACTAGTGTTAGACCAGTTTACTATAACTGGTGAAGTAGAAAACAACCAGTTTTGGTTTGTATACGCATATATTATTTTAAAATTTAGATAAAAATGTAATTTATTTTTTCTTACACCAGATATAAGTTATACTAAAATTTTGTATTAAACCAAATAATAACTCAAGATAAGAAATGTACATAATTTAAAAGTTGAATAATAGAAATTAATTAAATACTTTTTATTATTGCTTTCAGCTTGTTTTTTCATCCATTCATTTACTTCTGAGTGATTAATTGTTTTTTCAAGTGGAATAGATAATGGCAAACAGTATTCTGGTCTATAAGTGTATTTTAGTTGTCCTGACGTTGTACATTGATAACGATCTTCAATGTTAAATTTAAAACATTCAGCTGGATTTTCAGATTGTTGAGAATGTTGCTAAAAACAATTTTTTTTCCTTAAATTTTGTGCTACACAAAATTATGAGTTCCGTTATAAAATTTTATAGGTACCTCTATTAATGATAATAAGTACAAAAAAAATTCCTGTGCATCTTGTTGTTTTTTTGTAGCAAATTCAGGATGATTTTTTCCAATTAACAATTTTAGAGAATTTGGTCTAATACCATGATGCCAATACTTTTTTTTTCCTTCAATAACTTCTGGAGGTGGCATTGAATACCTTCCTGAACATAGTCCATGAGCTAATTTCGCCCTAAAATAAACAAAAATAATTAATACAATAAAATAAATAATAAATAAAATATAGAATTAAACATACATCTGTACATTGAAATTATCAACAGGATTAGTTGTGCATTTTTGAAATATATTTATTGACCGTACATAGTACCTGAAAAAAATAAAAATTAATAAATACATAATATTTATGAATTAGTATAATTATGATATTTCTTACTTAACAGTAAAATCCGGAATAGAAAACAAAACTTGCAAAATACTATTCATGTAACATGAATTTCCTAAATTATGAATGCCTGTATAACCTGGACCAAAAATTGGTTTCAACTCACTTCCACTTTCTTGCATTGTTGCCCATTCACCAAACTTTTGATTTAAATCTAATTCTAATTCTACCATTGATTTTTCAGTCTATAAATAAATATTATATTTGTACCTACAGTAATACATATATGAAATGTTTAAATACAATGTTATACCTTTTCCATAACAGAAATATTAATACCAAAATGTGATAAATGTTGAATAAGATTTGGATTTTCAACCATATCATGTTCTGGATAACTGTATACATCTCCTTTTCCGTCTTTAGTAATTGTACCAAGTTTAACAGCCAAAGGAAAATCTAAAGATAAAATAATAAAATTAAATGTAGTTCAATATTAAATTTACAATTTTAATGTAAACCATACTTGTTTTACGATAATGCTCAATAGCATGACCATTTCCGCCGGATCCATCAAAAAATTTACGACCACAATAAATTGAACCATCAGTTAAATTAAGCCATAGATTATTGTCTTTATCACAATCTGGATACTCACACTTCCAACCACTGGGAGCAATTTTTTTCTCATTATTTAACTGCTCTATATCAGCATACCTATTCGAAAAAATCAAAATATTTTTAAGAAACCAATTATAAATAGAAATTCTATCTAATAATTAATAATTATATATTATAAATATATCATACTTGGTTTCAAGTCTAATTTCGCCATCCCATGTACTAGACAAACTTTTCAATTCATCTAAGTAATTAGCCGATTTAGCTTCTATAATACCTTTTACAGAATTAATGACCTAAAATAATTATTTTTATAACAAACATAACATATTAGCAAACGATAAAATAAAACCAAATAATTACTTTTTCTGGCAAATTACTAGTGTCAAATGGAATTGAATCAAAGGAAGGTAAAATTACAATAGAATAGTTTTCTATAGTTTTAAACTTTTTGTTTTCAGCATCTGGATCAAATCCACCATCTACTCCAATAGCTAGTCGAGTAATTTTTCGTTCAGTTGGAGCATCTCCTACCTGCGTCATTTTGGTTTCAACCTAACAATGTATATAATAAACAACTAACTACTATTTTTAAGTTCTAATAACAAACTACACAATTAAATACATTCTATTATCTACAGACAATTATAAGCACATTATCACTTAATATACAAATAATAAAACAAATTTTAAAACTTGTTTTACTTTAAATACAATGTCATTTTTCTAAGTTAAAAGTTAATTTATTCAAAGAAAAAAATGGTAAAATTATGAACATTAGTTGAATTTTAAAATATGCTTCTCTCACAGTATTAGATCATTCCAGCCATATACATTAACATACAATAATATGCGAATGCATAGTGTATAAACTATAACTACTTTATATATAGTTTTATACCAGCGAGAAATCAAATCCAAATCAATCTACTAAAGGATTTCAATCTGGACTACAAGTAATTATATTCATATTCATAATCCGTACAAACAAAATCTACTAAATTCTTATGTGAATTGAAATCATAGGTAGGGTAATGAAAGTTACAGGATTGAAGGAAAAATGTTAAGACAATTATTTAAAAACTTTAAAAAAATTTAAATCAAATAACTAAATATTATTTAAATATATTTTTTATTTAGTTGTTTAAATTGTTCTCATGTTGATATACTGATCAATTGTAAAGTCCATACATTTATTTTGATATCATTTCATAATTTTTTTTTTTATTGAAATTTTTCCAAGCTTAATAGAGCTTATTGTATATTGAAAATTATTAGGACAAATAATTGACAATCAGTCATGTAAATTGATAAAGCTTTTACTGTTAAATGCTGAGATTAGATTGAAATATACAATTAATGGGGAAAAAGTTGAAACAAAATTGGAAAACAATGAAAAATCCAGTTTTTTTTTAACAAATTTAGGTTTATAAAAAACTAATAACAAATTAATTCAATAAGGCTAAATTTATGATGTACCAAGATTTAACTGATCCCAACTATTGTTGTATTAAGCTCAGGTAAGCCTAAAATGAATACCCAAAAATATATTAAACCACAGAATATTGGCTTAAAACAAATTGATTTTTAATGGAATTTTCATCAATATTAATCATGGATAAAAAAATATTATTTTTAATTAACTACAATAATACTGAAATATTTACTACTATACCTCTATTTTATCTCGAAGTATATGTAAAAACACTGAGCACCCTGTTTTTCTATGATAGCGTTCAACATGCTCACGCCCAAAACCACCAAATGTTTTTAAACAAATAAAAAGGCCAGTTTCACAATCCTGAAAAACATATTAAAACATATTAGTTATATATATATATATTGATATTGATAAATTAAATAATGATATATTAAAATTGAAAATTATAAAATAAGAATTTTATTTAACTTTTTTGAGCTATAAAATTAATATTATGTATTACCATCAAGATATTAATGAATTTCATACACATTTTAATGACACTTTCAAATTAGTTTTAAATAATAGTAACAATGGATTTCATATATCAAAAATAAAAAAATAAATCATACTACTTTCCTTAAATATAATTTATTTATTCTAAAAACAATTTTGTTCTTATTCATTTTAATATCTTTACATAAATAATTCAATGAATAATTAAAAACATGTACATAAATTATTAATAATAGACCTAATAAACAAGAAAATATTATTTCAAGTTATATGATCATTAAATTTCAATTCCCAATTTTTGTTGTTTAAAAATTAGTATTGGTTAATACAATAATATTATAAAATTAGTAATATTATGTGTAAGTTAAAAGACTGAAATCTATCATAACATTTTAGGTACTTAATTGAATTAAAAATTATATAAGCTTACTGGTGAATCAAACGAGTATAAGCATTCATCTTTATACACTCGATCTTGATCTTCGGGAACGCGAGCGTCGTAATTCTCTAAAATATGGTATAGAGCAATTTTATTCATTTTAAGTGTTGAAACGTATAACTGTTCACAATAACTTAAATAGGTGTTGATTGAACACAATATTAAGAAAAGAAACCAATTTAAAAAAGCTTTAGAACAAAATTGTTTTCATCATCAAAGGCTAGAAATTTAGACAACCAAATATGAAATACAATTAGCTAAATTACCCAATAATAAATTATTGAAGAAGCAAAATATAAGTAAAAAAATAAGACAATCAGATATTTTTATAACCTAAAATATAACGCATTATCACCACTGTGAACTGTAACCGCAGTATGTTATTACTTATATTAATTTGACCACAACAAAACGCAGAGAGATCAAATATCCAGTCTACCAACCTCAAAAATATAAATTTAGTTTATAGGTTTATGCTACCAACCCGTATTTATCAAACACATAATTTATGGTATTCATAGATAGCCTGTATTACCACGCTATTAGATAGGTATTTGATCTTTCAGCATAAAAATCAGTTTATTAAATAAACGGTATTCATAAGCGCAATTTAATGTTTAGCAAGTGATCAGCACCTCTGAGTTTTATATTTGCATCCACAGATTTGTTATTACAGCTTCATTTGATTTTTTTTTTTTTTGCATATTCATGAAATCATAATCAAATTTCATTGTTTATTTGTATATATATTTTTAATACTGATTTTGTGTGTACCTTGAGGTATATATTAAGCACTATTTTAGAATACATTCTGACAAATTTACTGTCATCCATATGTGTATCAATATTTAGCCCTAGAATAACTATAGGGTTACCATAAATTTATAAAGCAAAACCGGGATAAAACAAACAAGTTATTGAGTAATATACTTTTAATATAACTTATAATATATTGAGAGAATCAATGACGTATGTAAGGGGGAAGTGGAGGGTCAGAGCCCCCTTAGGCCTTTTTTTAAATGTTATAAAATAATGTTCTTAATTTGAGGGCGTTAGAAACGTAAAAAAATAATGATAAAATAAAAATAATGATCACCTACATACAAAATTTATGTGTACGTCACTGAAGAGGAAAATTAATGGTCGGCAATATAATATTTAAATAGAATAAAATGTATTATATGTGTAAATTACAAACTATGTTTTTATTATATATTGTTAATCCATTGTAATTTAAAATGTAATTCGAGATAAACTGGTCGAAATTAAAAATTAAACAATACTAAATTTTCTCTAGACGTCTAAGCCGAGACATACGGATGTCCCGAAAACATTTTTCGGGACACCGGGATACGAAGTTCAAAACCGGTGATAATCCCGGTTTTCTGAGACGTATGGCAACCCTAAATAACTATAACTATTGGCGCCACCAAGAATTTTGTCAGGAAGGTGCATCACGCTTAATTATGGTTGCCATACGTCCCAGAAACCCGAAATTTTTTCCGGTTTTGGACTTCGCATCCCGGTGTCCGAAAAATGTTTTCAGGACGTAAATAAGTCTCAACCAAGACGTTTAAAAGAAATTTAGTATTGTTTAATTTTTATTTTCGACCATTTTTAATTGTAATCAATTAACAATACATAATAAAAACATAATTTACACAAAGTGGCGTAGCCAAGGGGGGGGGACTAAGGGGGCTATAGCCCCCCCATGGGCCGTGTTAATATGTATAATGTATCTTGACAATTTAATAGAATCAATGGATGCTCGTTTTAATCAAAGGCTTATTGATGTTATGCCACTTGAAGGACTTATTCCGGCCAATTTAAATATGTATGACGATAAAAATATTATAAAAGCTGCTAAAATATATGTCCAAGATCTCCATGATGATACCTCATCTACAATCAGAGCTGACCTGTTCATATGGAGGCAACAATGGAGTCAAAATACTATTCCAAAACCGAATTCTGCTCTTGATTCACTCTCTCATCGCACCAATCTTCGACCTAACATTAAAATACTTTTACAATTATTCGCCACGTTACCAGTTACCTCTTTCACTCCGGAAAGAACGTTTTCAGCACTTAATCGCTTAAAAAATTTTTTAAGAAGCACCATGTCGGAAAACAGACTGAATGGGTTAGCTATGGCTAATATAAATAAAAAAGAGCAATTCGATGAAAGTGAAATAATAACTGAATTTGCCAGAAATTCGCCTAAGAGAATGCAGCTGTCAAAGTGGAGCAAGTGACTGAACACTAAAACCAAAATTATTATTATAATAATTATTATAAATTATATATTAATAAATATTTTTAAAACTATACTAAAATGCTTGAATTACGTTTAGAAACTTGGTGGTAGATGGTGGGGGGGGATTAAGGCTGAATTCTCATATCCTCTCTTACCTTACTTATCCAAAAAAGTAGTTGGCCCCCCCATTTAAAAATCCTGTCTATGCCACTGTTTACACATATATCATATATTTTATTTTACAAATTTTTTTTAAATATTATACTACCATTATACTATTAATGGTCCTCTTAGGTGGCGTAAACATAACTTTTGTATGGGGGGGGATCATTTACAAACAAATCATTATTTTTTTTTTTTGCATTTCTAAAGTCCATACACTAAGAACATTATTTTATAACATTTAAAAAAAGGTCTAGGGAGAAACTGACCTCCACATCCCCCCTTGTCCTCTCAATATATTAAAAGTATATTACTTAATATTGTGCTTATGTTGTCCTGGTTTCACCTTATAAATTTATGGCAATCCTATGCATAATATATATGATAATTTCTAAATAATGCTTAAAATTATTTAAATGAAGTACGTAGGAATATTTTTTCAAATTGACAAATATGATAATACAAAATTATTTTAATTTTTTTCAATGGCTTTAAAGTAATGCAGGTTACTAGAAAATCCAATAATGATAGAAATAGTCTCTATCCTACATTATTAATTTTTTTTTTTTTTTTTTTTATATCCAGGGGGTGCAAATCTATCTTAGCACCCATGACTATAACCACTTATAAACAAAGTTTAAAATGTATAAGACTATAACTAGAGCTAAGAATCAGTTTTTAATTTCATCATACTTTGAAACTGAAGTATAAAAATAATTTATACATATATAAAATCCAAATTCCACTAATATTTAGAATATAAGAATAACAATTGTATAATAGTTTAGATAACAGTTTGAAAAAAAATAAAATTTATAATTATTAAATTAAAATTCTAGGAATTATTTAAGTTATTTTAATATTGCTTATAAACACTAATATAAATTTAAAAAACCAATCATAATATATTTATTAAATAATTGAATACAAAAGAAATTAAACGGTAATCTTTATTTTTAATTATTTGGATTTTAAACTGAATTACATTGTACAAGAAATAGTTATTTTAATATACATAATTTGGAACAAAATTATGATTCCATTACTTTATTTTTCAATATACTGATGATAAAAAATTACATCAATGAATTTACGTCACATTGTCGGTTTTTTTAGTATATATACAATTTGAATAGAATAGTCACAAATATAGTTGATACTAATAATTTAAAGCTTGTTTTTAACAGATAATTTTTTAAAAATATGAGCAATATATAAATATAGTTACATATAAATAAAGAAAATACAAACATTCTAACTTACAAGTAGAACAATTTTTATTATAATCATTAAAGTCATATAATTTTAATAAAACAAAAGGAAAATCAATATAAAATTAACCAGCATATACTACAATTATTTTGACAATTTTCATAATTAAATAAATAAAATAATGAAAGACAATTGAAAACAAAAAATGTATTTTAATATTTTAATGAACTCTAAAAATATATGCTAGTAGGTATTAATATTCCATTATTCTTAAAATAAAAAAAAAACAACTTTTATTTTAGTTATTGATGATAAAAATGAATATATATACATATATATGTATATACATACAATGTTCAAAATATAAATCAAAATATTTTGAATTTTTAATGTATTTGCTCTAAATTACCGTCAATTAGAAAATTAAACATTAAAATAGTTGAAACTCACAAAAAAATTTTATTTTGTTATTGTGAGAATTATTTTTGAAGTAATTATTACTGGATATATGAAAAATATAAATAAAATAATATTGCTTTAAAGCAATACAATTTTTTGTCGAAACTATGAAAATTGTATAGACATAGCCACATATATTAAAGTAATGGAATCTTAATGAATGGTCTTAATTCCGTAACAATGATTTGACATAAGCTTCATGTATTTTAACCATAAAATCTGAATCATTTTTTAGTAAGTATTCAATAGCTTGTAATAGCTGATTCTTTGTTAATGGTTCCAATCTATTAGTTGCAGGTTCTAGGTGTTTAGGCTCAGTTAATGACATTGCATTTACTGAAGAAGTAACTAATTCATCTTCAATATCATCCATTATGAATCTAGTTGGAGGCATTAGCTCATCTTCAACTTGTGATTCTAGTGTCAAAGATGCACCTAGAACACAAAATTATTATTTTTCAATTAATTTTTAACTTTGAACAAAATGGTTATAATCTATAAAATTTAAAGTAAATTATATTCGGGTTATCAGTCATATATATTAAGACAAAAAAATTAAATTAAATTTTTTTTAAATAGCTGGTTCAAACCAAACATATGTTGTTAATTTAAACTGGAGTTTCAAAAACTAAAACTCACAACTTAGTCATACAGAGTAAGTACTTTTATAAATTAATAGAGGGTTGTGACTACAAGAGTCTCATAAAATGTTGTTTAAATAAAATGTTTCCTAGAGATACAAGACAATTTTAATGTTGAAACTGATAATAAAAATTCTAAATATTAATTTATATATGATTCAAGAAATAATAAAAGTATGAAATAATTATTAGGTAATGATATTTTATTAATAAAACAATGATAGGTTACAAATAATCCATTCCTTAAATTAAAAAACTTGTGTTGATTTTCATGCATCAATCAAAAACTTGACTAATAAAAAAAAAAAAAAAACATGAATTTATAATACATCTTGCTTAACACCAACTATTTGCTCATGTAATTCTATTTCTATTTCAAACTGTGTAAAAAATTTAGGAATTGAAATTTGTAGTAACATAAGATAGAAAAAAAAAATTATGTAAGACTTAATAAAAGTTATTTATATTTTTAGAAAGCTTCATAACAAGCCTGTAACAATATATACGATTTAAACAAGCTATCTAACAAAGGCAAATTAAAAAAAAATAAAATAAACGAACAAGCTAACCCAAGTATATTTAGCTTTAGTAGAATCAGTAATTCCATCTAGTATAGATTGTTGGAACCTTTTATAATATTATAACAGAGTTACAAGTGTGTCACAATCAAATCTTCAGTTATTTACAACAAAATCTAAGATTTCCCTCTACAAAACTTATTAAGTTATAAGAATGAACTACCCATATAAAAAATTTTAACTTTATTAAAATATTATAAAATTATGAAATCATTAAATGGCATACCATTTTTAAATTTTTTAATGTTTATAAAATCAATTTTAAAACTTTCATTTATAAAAATGAAGGATATTTTCATTATTTATATTGTTTTGTTAACATTATAAAACATGTAACGTTTAAATGCTCATAGTTTTTTTTTTTTTTTTTAAATACAATTTAACTTCTTTTCTTTAATCAATAATATATATATGAAAAATATTGTGTTAAATTTTCAAGATTTTTTGTCCAACCAATATTATTTTATCTACATTTTTTAAAAATAAGCTAATTAAACTTAAAAATATCTATTATCTGTAAGTAAACCAAAAATAAATAAATAGTAAATTACGTATATAATTTATAACAAATATTAATATAAGTATTTAGTGAAAATGTCACTGTAATAAATATTTTTTGAGTTAAGGTGAGAACAAAAGTTAAATTTTGTCAAAAACCAGTATGATGTAAATTTTATGAAATTTTAATAAATTGTAAAAAATAAATTCGTAAAATATTATCTTTTTCATAATAACAACTCAACAACATTTTTAGAAATTTCTTATGATCCTGATAATCATATTTTTCTAAATTAGTTAGAAAACAGTTGAACAATTCAAAAAATGAGATTCCGAAAGAACCAACTAAAACCCATTTCTTTTATCATTAAGTTTCTATTTGGTGGTAAGCCTTCTAAATGAAAATTGTGTACATAAACACAAAAAATATATATATAGTATAACCAATAAATTCCTTTTCTTTTTCACTCATAATCTAAAATAAAATCAGTTTTTTATAACCTAATACAATTCAGATTTAGTAAAACATTTATTGTTTAAGTAAACTGTGAGTTACCCTATAAAATCAGTATTATTCAGTTAAACTAGATATATTTGAATATTCTCATTAAAACTTAAATATTGTTATAATCTGCTACAACTGCAATTTATATAAGAGATTAAATGATTATTTTATACCTAATTTAAGCTTTAAATTAAAAATTAAAAAAAAATCAATCATTAGCAAATTACTAATATTTTATTTATTTATTACCCTAACATATACTTTGAAATTGAATAAATAATTGTTATATTGAATAATTAAATTAACTAATAAATATACTTTAATATTAATTTAAAAACATTCCATCAGAGGTAATCAATATAATATATATTTACCTATGGGTACATCAAGTTTTTCAGATTGTTCACTTTGATTAAGAAAATGTTCAATTAATGATGTACTATATGAATTATCCTTATTTTCTTTGGGATGATGATATCCATTACGCTTAGCATGAGAAGTATTATCTTCTACTTGTTGATTTAACTGATTTATTAAACTTCGAGGTTTAATATTATTGAATGAACATTGTTTTGCAGGCTTAGTTTGTTCAGTAGGTGTTGGTACTAAGACATCTGATCTAGGTGTAGCTGATCTTTGTTGCATTTCAATTTGTTCTACTGTATGAATTGGACTGGCCATTAACTTATGTAACATTGATTCATTAGATCCAGTTTTTAAAGTTGGAGTTTGTGTACTTTGTGTATTAGCATAACTTGATAATGATGGTAACCCATCAGAGAAATTTTTTCCACTACCTGCCTTTGCAAAAAAATCCATAACACATTGAGGAGGAGCATTTTCTTCTACTTTCTTGGATGGGGTTCCAGTTCTTTTTGAGCTGGTCTTATTGGCTCTTTAAAAAAAAAATATATACATATATATATATATATATATATTTATATATAAATAAACACATTAGCTAAGTATATTTTCAATAAAATGAAAAAAATTAGACTATAATGTTCTCAACATATGAAACAAATAACAAATTCAATAAAAAAATAATAAATTAAATAATTCAAATTATTAAAAATATTAAAAAATGTTTGCTAATAATTTACAAACTTCAATCTTAAGTAGTTCTGTAACTTTTAAATATATACTTTTTTTTTTGAAAGAAAGGTTTCTGCAATTATATTATAAAAAATGTTTACCTGTAATCTTCTTGAGCTCGGCTGAGCATTGATACGAGATCAATACTTTTATTTGAACCAGTTTCTTGTTTAGTAATTTTATCATTTTGTTTAACTACCATATTTTTGATCAATGATTTCAATATACTAGAAATTTTGGCACATTCATCTTTGTCATAAAACCATATACCATAAATGGAACCACCACTATTTCTGTATAATAAAAATGGTTCTTGAAGTTGAAGATCTAGGCCATTTTCAATTGGTTCCATTAGATTGTTTGTATTCAATCTATTCATTATCATAATACTATGCAATGGTTCAGCAGATCGTGTATATACATGCAAAGTTCCTTCAACATTATTTTTTTGCCATGCATTTGCCTCTGCATTAAATGAATACAAAGCAACGTGCCCTGCTGTTTGCACAATACTATCAACATATGGATCTACTCTTTGCAAAGCAGAGAGATTCATTTTGGCTTCAGAATCACCGTAACTCATTGTTAATATCTAACTATTAATAGTAAACAATAACACTACACTATAAGGAGATCAATTCAAGTTAAAATAGGTAGTGTAGATGGTAACATTCACTAAAGACAATTATATCTACACAACAGTTCTGTTAATACGAATAATGTGTATAAAATTGTAGAATGTTTTTTTTCCAATAATGTTATTCTTATATCATTTCCGCGATACTTCTTCTCAGGTGATGATGACATTCAGCGATCCTTAGAGCTCTTCAAGAATAGATTGGATTTAAAATAACATAATATCACCGAAGACTTGAAAAATAATAAATTTAATTACCCTAGGTCAAAAAAAATATTGTAAAGACTGAGTAAAATAAAAAACGAGCAGCGAGAGCATTATTAAGAATCCAACCGAACGATAACTATCTGAGTGAAATAAAGTGGGAGAATTTAGCGAACGAAAAACAAATGAATGTATAACCATTAACACGGTAACTACAACCGAAAACGGATTTGATAACGAAAATTCGTTATGACTCTTCTTGTTTAAGAGGCAAATCTATTATTCTCGTAAAAGCCACAGATTGCTATATATTATATTTATGAACTTCAAAAATATTTACTAGGTTCATATTATTATATATTATTATATTAGGTATTATAACTTCCTTAAATATTTATGAAAATTAATTATTATTCTATTCATATAATTTAATGTTCCAACCAATTAAATTTAAATAATTTAACAATTATAGGTATAATATACAATTTTTGTATCTTTAAATTATATTAAAACTTAACCTTACTTCACTTATTATAGTACCAGGAATTATCGGCTGTAATATTAAAAATGGACAGTGACGTTTTTTATGATCGGAACATGTTTTTTACTGAACTGTCCCAAAGTATTGGTAAGTATGATATTATTAATTCTGTATAACTTTAACTGTGTTATTTTTTTATTTTTTATAGTTTTACTTAATTATACAAATATTTATTGACTCTTATTGTTATATATATATTATATAGCATGATAAATATATCTAAGAAACTTGGTGAAGGCATTTTGACAAATTAAAACTAACATTTTATAATTAAATAGTCAGTAAAAATTTGATAATGACAGGAAAATCTATTTACATATTCAAATATTATAAGATCATTGAACATCTGAATTTTTAATAATTAAAATGAATGTACAAAAATTAATTTTGCTTATACTCTCCTCAAATTTTCTATTCATTTTTTCCAAAACCAGAAATTAAAATACAATTCCTATAGAATGTGTTAATTATCCTCTATTGATGTCTAAGGATTGATTCTTCTTTTGCAAGTGGGTCTAGACTATCCATAGATTTTATTATAATATTTATTGGTTTTTATTGTTAAGTATAAATTTAAATTTTCAAATTTAATTCAGAAATTAATTTTTTTTTAGATATATTTTTTACTACAGTAAAGTAACTGACTAATAATTATTATAATTTAAAATAATTTTTTTTTTTTTGTTATTGTTGTAAAATTCTTGAAATATTGTTTTGTTTAAAATATTGTAACATTTGAGGAGTGTGATAAATGTAGTTTGTTCCATAATAGTTATCCTAGTTCTTGAAAACTTCTAAAAAAAGACTTTTCTACGGTTCAAAATAAATTAAATACACAATTTTTATTACCAAAAGAAATGGATCGACTTATAATATATTACAAAGTCTAAATAATTCTTATTTCACTAAAAAATGTTAAATTGTTTGTTTATGTTAATTTATAATTTATGAAAATATTTACTATTTTATAAGATTAAAATATATATTAACTAGCTTAATACAATTTTTTTATTTTGTATTTAATTTAGATAGAAAAAAGTTATCTACAAATGTCTTATTTGAAAATTATCTAAATCATTTTAAAGACATAGTTCAACATAATGGATTGGTTGAAGAAGAAATGAAAATAATTTGTCAATTGTTTTGTACAGTTGAATTAAGTAAATAATCATTATTGTTTTATGTAAATAAATCGTTTAAATTTAGTTTTTTAAATAAAATAAAGTTGAGTACCATATCATGTTAGCCATTAAAAATATATTTTTAATACTAAAAAAAAGTACTTAGAAGTATTTAATTTTTGAAATCAAAAAATATTTAGTACAATTTTGTTCTAGATCTAAAAACTTTCAAACAAGTACTTTTAATTCTAGTACCAGAAAATCCAAATATTCCAACTGATGTTTGTGAGGAACTTATTGTTTTAGTCTTATCAATTTATCATGAAAATGTTAATAATATGAAGAAAGCTGAATGCATATTATATTGGTTACTTTGTAAGTTATATAATTAATTATATTATTATCTGATTCTCCCATTACAATTACTAAGTTATTACCAGAATCTATCCTTCTTTTGAACTGCATTCTTTCATTTATCCACTCCCACATTTCTTAAAAAATTTTCAACTATATCTTACTATGAAGTTTCCATTCTAAAACTGCTCCAACAATTTTATACTTTCATATTCTTATTATATGACCTCATTGTATTCATTTATTGGCTTCTTCAAACAAATGTCAAATTATTATTTTTTTTTATATATATATACAGATGTAGTAGAAGAAAAATTGACTAATGTGGATATAATTGATAAGTATTATAAAATTTTATTTCATCTGTGTACTTATGGAAATTTAGTAAGTAAACAATTATTGTTAAAAAATATTTGCTGAGTTGTATTCATTATTTTAATAATATTATTATAGAATTCACCAGTTGCTGGTATTATTTATTTTTTGACAAAACCTGAGGATGTGCAAAATTGGATGATAACATGCTGCAAGAATATTATTAATATTGGTAAAAATGAATCTTCGATGAACAAATTGTTAACGTAATAATGCATTTTTCCCTAAAATTGTAATTTATAAAATAAAAAAAAATTTACTTTAAATTTTACTGAATAGTTTCTTTGAAAATCCAAATTTAATTCTTGAAACTCGCCAAAAAGGACTTTTTGACTCTAAGTCAAAGTTTGTTATACAACTTGCAAATGGTTTACGCAGTGTTAAAAAAGAATTAATTAGTAAACATCTCAATTCTACATCTTTACAACTCACAGAATATGTATATTTTTAAAATATATTTATATTTTATTTTGTTCAAATAAATAACTTGCAATTAATATTTTTATTTAATTTAGAGTAAAAAGAATTCAGATGGATTTTACAGTGAAATAAAGTTTGTCAATGTAAATAACAAATTTGAATTGCCAAGGTAAAATACAATTTATTATGTTACAAAATTAAATGTATTATTCATTACAATTTTTATATTAAAAAAATGTATTATAATATTGTTATTGTTAGTTGATAATAATTTAAATTGTTTATATTTTCAGAACTAAAGATTTAGCAAAAGTAATCATGGATCAAAGTATTTCTAATAATAGTTTATCACTTTTAGATAATATTAGTGGTTGGTGTAAATTACTCATGAACACAGAGGCAAAATTAAATATACAACAAAGATTTTCAAATAATTTAAACAATAGTCTTGATCAAAGTAATATTTACAAAATAAGCATTATAGTTGTATAATACTTTTTAATTTATTAAATTTTTGTAGTTATAAATGAAAATAATTTAACTAAAAAAACTAAGTTTTTACAAGAGATTTTGGAATTTCAAAAATTTGCACATCGAGGCTTGGTAGCTGTCAATTTATTTATTTTTAAATACATAATTTCATGGGATGGTATGCAATGTGCTTGGATTCTGTATGAGCTCTTTGAATATTTATCATTCACATCTGAAGAAGGTTATATACTAAAATTATTTTCTGATAATATACTAATTTATACTTTTATTTTATTTAGAATTAAAAAATAGATTTTTAGAAAAATTGTTTCCAATATTTATTACTGGAGATGAACTTATTTGTAAAATAATAATCAAATCTTTAACCAATCTTCTTTGTAATTTGGTAAGTGAATGCTTTTCATTTATTGTAATACAGATTGCTATGACTAATATCTTACTTGATTATATATCAAATTATTTTTAATTATAATAATATTGTAATCATAATTGTAAGTAGGGCTTCTTAAATGCATATTAGGATACCAAATTGATAGTATGTATTACTTTATTTTAATGTTTCGCTAAATTAAATGTATCAGAATAATAATATGTTTTTTTAGCATTTAAATTCAAGACTAACCAAAACAGATAGGCATAAAATATTGTTTGGTGAACAATTGCGAGAAGATGTAGAATTTGAAATTGTTAAATGTTTAACAAAATACATATCCCAATGGTGTTCAATATGTATATATCATTATCCACAAGAAGAACAGTTGAAACATGTAGTTTATTCATTTTTTGAAAAAGTAAAAAAACAGTTTTTCAGCTTATGAAAATATTTTTTATTTTAATTAGTCCCAATTTTTTTTTTTTATTAATAATTTTTGTGTTTAGTTTTTTTTAAACATGAAAACATAATGTGTTCAAACATTATGTTTAAAAAAAACTTAAGGACTATTATATTACATTTTATTTTGTTAAATTAAAAATCAAGTAATATATTAATGTTTTGAAATTATTCTACTAAAACATTTTTTAGGTATCAGTTTTGGAAAATTTAAAACCTTGCATATGGAATTTGTTTACAATTATGACACCAAATGTTTTTTATAATGGGTTGATGTCTGTTAATATTTACTGGTTAAATAGATTAGCCAAATTAATGATAAGGTATGTTAATTTAATTATAATCGAACCTAAGAAATTATAACAATATTATTTAAAAATAATTTTTAAATTGAATCACTTACCAGATAAAAAAATTTGGAACCAATAAAATTCATTTTTTGATTTTTTAATATCATTGTCATAAAACTCATTGATTTTAAATTAAAAAATTAATTTTTATACAAATAAATAGTGGTAGTCTTGAAAAAATTTGATTTTTTTAAATTACATTTTATTTCATTAAAACACATTAATCTAAATTATGTATTTTAGTATTTGATAATACTTGATATACAGTATGTCCCATAAGTCCTGTATCACCCTTAATATCTCCACGGGAAATAAATATATTTAAGCGCGGTTTTTTTTACAATACTTAGTATGGAAATCTGATTGAATGGCATAAAATTAATTTTTTTTTCTTTAAAAAAATTCAAAAATTAAAAAAAAAAATTTATGCATTAAAGAATTTTCAATTTTTAAAATAGCCATTTTCTTGAGCATATTTTTTAAAACGGTTAAAAAAAAATATATATTAAAATTGAATGAAAATTGACCAAGTTAGAGCAAGTTATGTTTTTGAATAATTATAATAATAGTTGTTACCTAGCAAAATACGAATTGCTCGAATTTGTCGTTTAAATATATTAATTTTCTGTGGAGATATGAAGAGTGATACAGGATTTATGAGACACACTGTTTAACGCAAAATATAAAGACTGTGGTTTATTACCTAATTATATATAGTAGCCAGCCCATTTTTAAAAATAAAAATGTTGATTTCTCAACTTATAGGTAATATAAATATTATTTTTGATTAATGATTATTTACTTAACAAAATAAAAATTTACAATACAATTACATAATAATTATTAATTATTGTTTTATAATAACTTTCTACTTCAAGGCACATACAAATTGATATAGGTAGAATTGAGGAAATGACATCTTATTCATCTGTTATAAAATCATATCAAATGCTAAACTTGTATATGGCAGATTTTTATAATGCTCTTAAGGCTGGAAAGGTAAGAATAATATTATCAAAAATTGTTTATTTTAATACAGCTTGTTAATTTGAATAAAAAAACAATATTTTCTAGTTGTTTGATAAACGTGAAGAAGGATTTATTTTTAAAAATCTAAAAAGAGAGGAAATTCTTAAAGATTTAAAATATGTGAATTTAAACATATGTTTTAAAATGGATAAACATATTGCTTTAGCACCATATTATATGAATACTGAAAATACAATTGAGGTAATTTGTTACTCAATAATTTTAAAAAAATTACTTCTAGGTAGTGTTGCTAATTTTTAGCTTACATATTCTAGATAATTGAAAATATATTAAACATATACTAACTTCATAAATATTTAAAATTGTTTATAGTATAAACATTTCATAAATAAAAATATTTAAGAAGTAAGTATATGTTTATTTCAATTTTTTTTTTATATATAAATATTAGTGATACTTTAAAATATTTAATTTTCTGTTTGTGTTTTCAAATTTTCTAAATTTTTCATTTTAAATAGTTAAATAGCACAATAAATATATTATTAATGCTACCAAAAATTATATATTTCTTGACATAATATCAAATTCGGTGTAACTAGGATTACTAAGATTAAAGTCTAGTACAAGTTACTTGATAATGTCTCAAATTACCTTTAATAATTTTTAAAAAGTGCCATTTGTGTATTATTAGTAGGGCTAGGGACTTCGTGCCCTTACAAACCTTAAAATATGTATGCATTTATAAAAAATTAATTAGTAATAAATTATAATAATATTTTTATATATGATAGATATGATGATCTAAGATAATTTTTTCTTTTTTTCAAATTTGTTTTTATCTTATATTGAGTATTTATCTAAAACAAAATATTTAAAATGGTTTTAAAAATAAATTAAATTGAAAACATTTTTTTTATTTTTAATATAGTTATAATTCTTCTAACCTTGAGCATTACATTGGACAATAAGATATTTTCTTAAGTTGGAAAATTTAAATGACTGCCTGTTATCAGCCAAAATATTTTTATATTTAGAAAAGGAACGTTACACGTCTACGGAACTTATTGGTGCAAACTTAAAAAATCGTAGGTCACTACTGCTAATATCTACAGACAATCCATCTATAGATTCATTTTTCCATTTAAAATATTCGATATTTTTTGTAGTTAGCCTTAGCTTGTGCAAATTCTTCAATTTTTGCAGAATGTATACGTTTTTTGTAGTTTTAATTATTTTAATGCATTCAGTTAGTTCACCAATAAGACACTTAGAGTTCCAAGTCGCGTGATATATGAAGAAATAGATCATAATTTTTTTTTATAAAATTTACAAACTTACTTCTCCATATGAATAATTGTCAAATTTGCATTTATAAAATGAAAAATGGTCAAATATGCACTTATAAATGAAAAATGGTCAAATATGCAACTATAAATTTTAAATATTAACTTGTATTGCAATGAAACAAATTTATATATTACTTAGCTATGTTTTGTATAATTATTTAAAATCATGCAAGTTCCTAGAAGTCCCGAGCCCTAATTATTAGTATCCTTAGTATTTTCATATTAATAATGAACTGATTCTGTATTATATTCATTGTAATAACCAACTCTTCTGCATTTTATTATAAATAATAATAACTATATAACACTATAACTAGTAAGCTATAATAATAAGCACTATAACTAGTGCTTGGTCTAATATTATAAACAGTTTCGTATTTTTTGAAAACAATTTTATAAATACTCAGTAAACTCATTAGTATTAAATTTATAAATTTTGACTGTCAACAATTTTATATCCAATAATTTTATTATAAATTATTTATTTGTTTTTATATGTAAAGGATGCATTAGATTTACTCAAAAAGGAAGCACCAAATGTACATGCACTTATTCTTTTATTGGAAGATAATTTGGAAGATAATGAAAATAATGATTTAAATTTATCTCCAGTGTATTGATTAATAGTGTTATTTATGTATAATTTTTATCTTGTACAATTATTAATATTTAAGAGTTAGATTATTATTTTATTGAATAATAATGGATTTTTATATTACCACAATTAAAGATACTATATACTTATATATCTTTAATCGTGTATATTACCTAAATATTTGATAAATGTATTAACTGATAAGATTAAATCGAAATCTGTTAATTTTTTTTATTTTTATAAGTTGACAGAAGTGTATTTGAGAATTTCTGATATTATCTTTTTTTTTAACATTCCGGTGGAATTGTGGTATCACTCTTGTTGCATTACATCTATACTTACTACTATACTTGTACTTTATATAATACTCACAGATATGTATAATAATGTATAATTTTTATACATATTTGTGGATACACTTTATATTCTTTCTTACTTATCTATTATTATATGAACATGTATCTATATTATACGTATGATTGTGATTACTTTTATCTGTGTAGCTATATACAAAAGTAAAGACTAGAGCCCGGAAGTTGATGTATTTTGCATTTTTTTTCCAATCTTTTTAGAATATGCTATACTGGCCACTAATGTGTTTCATTAGCATGTGAATCAAAATAACTAATTTTTAGTTGCATTTTTTTTGGTGTTTGTTACTTTTTAAGTAATTTTTTAATGATTTCACACTAGTTAATATCTTATTGTTTCTTATCGACCATTATACCGATAAATTAAGACTTGTCCGATTTTATCTCGTCATTGTCGTGTCTTAGTGAATAATATTAAATTTAAATTTTATTATTTTTTCTTAATGTTCGATAAGTATCCGATATTATATCGTCAATTATAGTCGTCGCTTCATTGTCATGTTATTGTGAATAATACATATTGTTGTGAGCCGCTCGGATTCTGCAGTCGGTTCAGTTAATTCCGCCGATCACAAGTAACGTTTTGAGTTCGCACTTTTGGAAGTCAATGTGGAGGTTATAAATTCACACAATTAATATATGAACTAATACACTGTTGTTTAGCTGTTACACGACTGACAACGCGATGCCAGGTGGTCAGGCGTGTACGTATAAAATAGGAATCTATACAGTATGTAAATTAATTGGAAAATTAGTAGTCATTCCTTCCAATATCATGCAAATATTGAGGTTCCGTTTTTTTTTTTTACATAAAATGTAACTTATAGCCCATCTTTTATCATGGTTAAAAAAAATACAAAATTCAAAACCGGCAAAATATTTTTTTGATTTTTCAAAAAAAAAATTTGAAAAGTTTCAATTTTACAATTTGCTGTTTTTGAAAATATAAAATGTTTTCATTCATTCGAAATTTTTTTTTCTCTGAGTAACTTATAAGTAGACTTAGGGACTTAGGGACTAGCTCTAAAAAGAACACAAATATCCATCTAAAATCATTAAATTATGCATTGCATATTTTTATGCATTAAAAAAAAAAAAATGACCACATAGTACACAAAATAAAACGTGTCCATTGAATGTAATTGTATATTTAAACTCCGAAACAAAACTTTGTAGTCAGCTACTCGTAGACTGTTGTACTTTCGGCATTACACAATTTTATAAAATATACCCGTACGACATTTTACGTATGATTCGACGTTGCGTGGTTAGCAAAAACAACAACGGATAATAATCGACTAATTTAAATAATCTATTAACTATATAGATCAGTAACGTATCCAGAATTCATTTAACGGGGGTGTTTTAAAATGTAATAAACTTATGGTAAGTAGAGAGATCTGCCCCCCCCCCGTATTACATCAATAGATACCATGTATTTCTATTAATTATTATTATATAAATGAAAATTATTCTATTAAAACAGTATATGTAAAATCTACAAGTTGTACACAACGTTTAAATTATACTGTAAGTTTGCAATTTGGTAAAATATGGTCGATGGAGGGGTGTTCAAACACCCATATAACCCTCCTTAAATACGCCCTTGATATCGACTATTATCTTTATAGACATTCGGTCGATATCCAGCGGGTTATACGATCGATACTGGTTTATAGTATTATTTATACTTGCACAAAAATTATAACCAGATATAAGAGATAATTTGCAGATAGCATTTTACTGAAAGTATTAAGTCTAGTGATGGGCATAATCGAACGATTTCAATAATCAAAATATTAGTAATCGAGACATTTTTATAATCACGAGATGTCTCGAAATAATCATTCGAAATGTTCAGTTGAAATATAATTTTATTTATAAACGTTCTAAGAAATTTTTGTTTTGTGGTTGAGTAATTCAAAAATTATAGCAATAGATAATTTAAATAACTTTGAGTAATCGTATAGCCATTAATATTTTCTAACAACCAGTCCCACGAGTAGCACGAGTCGAAAATACTGACTCAAAGTAAACAACTAGTATTTACTTATTCGATTAAAAATAGTATTCATCCCTCACACCTTCGTACCACGAAGATCATTCGAAATATTTTTTCATTCGATACACATTTCGAGATCAAGAATTCATTGTTTTTAAAATAAACGAGATATCACTCGAAATAATATCTCAGGTACATAATCGAATTATTATTTTGATAATCGAGATATCTCGATTACGCCTATCACTAATTAAGTCCTCTTAGTACATTTTTTTTCGATTGTTTGAAATATGTATCTGTTTTTAAACGAAGTGTTGCACAACTATTATATTTGTATTTAATAAACACAATTTCATAACAATTTACATAGTATATTTATATAATAGTATTATAATAATACTTAGAAATAGAACTAGAAATATAATTTAATAATTTTAAGTGTTTTAATAATACAAAATGTCCAATAGAAATTGTTTCAAGGATTATAAAATAAGAAGCTATAAAAGAAAATTTAAATAAACTGGAAATGTGTAAAAACAATAGTTAATTTATCATATATTTATATTAAATGATAGTAAAATAATAACAACGTTTACAAAAATAATTAAAGTTTGTTTATAATATAAAGACGAGTAATAATAATATAGTTTAAATAATTATATTACATAATTGTTTAGGAATGATTTAATCAAATACAATATTACCTTAAAAATATTCGATTATTTATAATGGTTTATAAAATGAATCATTTTTGAAAAACACAAAACAAACCATTAAAATTAATTTAACTATAGACTAGTGAACTACAAGTAAGCTTTTAAAAAAATACTCTTATTTCTTAAAAGAAAAATTGAATACAAAACTTTAATTAATTGTTTATCAAATTTTTAAACACCCGAGTCATTCATTTTTAATTAATTGCCTTCAGGTTATTACTGTTATATTTTTCGTTATTACTTTATCAATTAAAATTATTTAATTTATTACAATTGAACTTTTATCATCGATACATACAAACATTTACAATTTGTTGTATTTATATCCAATTTAAATGCTTAATTACATTTAAACACAATCAAAATAGAATATAAACTGTAGACATTTTGGTTTTAAAATATTTATAGTGATTTTTTTAACTACCTCACTAAACAAAAAATATCAAACTAATAACCGATTCAGTAAAATAGAAGAATAATAGTAATCTAAAACATTTAATTATAAGTAAATAATAACAGTTTTAATATTTTATATAATCTTTAGATACATTTTTTTTAATCATCACTAGAAGCTCCAATAATTGCTAAAATATACATGAAAATATTAATTATGTCTACATAAAGGTTTAATGCAGCAAAAATATATTCTTCAGGAGAAATGGAATACTTATGATCACCACCCATCATCATCTGTGTATCATAGATAAGATATAATGAAAATATAATTGCACCTGCTGATGCAATTATAAGTGTCATTAATTTACCAGGGAAAAATATGGCAACTATAGATCCTACTAGTAATATTAAAGCAGCAATCATTAAAAAACCACCCATTACTGTAAAATCAACTTTTGTTTGAAGAGCAAATATTGTAAGTCCAAAACATATTAAAGTAGTTAAGCCAAGAGCCATAAGTACTTGATCGGGATAGTAACGGGTTACAGAAACTGCTACTAAAAATGATTCTGCCACGGTAAATATACATAAAAGGATGAAGTTGGTAGGAGTCTTTCGGCGTAAGTCATCACAGCATGCAAGGGCAATTAAAGTACCAAACGTGATAATAATTGCTACAATACTAAGACCGGGATGAGTTGCTATATATTTCTTGGTAGGGAGATGAAAAATTGCTATTGCCACAAATATTAAAGTGGTTAGTAGTTGACACATGAGTATACTATACACTTTTCTGAAAAATTAAAACAAAAATTATTAAATAAAACTTATAATTTAATTAATTAACATAATAATATAACTAGGAATGTATGCATACGCAATGAAGTTTTTCCGGATGGTTTTATCATTGAATCCAAAATTATCTTGCGCATTAAAACTATCATTTTGTGGTGGCACATTTGATCCTCCATAAAAAGGTGCATTTTGTTGTCCATAAGGAGGAGGATAACCACCACCAGCGGAATAGCCACCGCCAGTAGGATAGCCACCGCCAGTAGGATATCCTCCACCAATAGGATAGCCACCATCAGCTTTAGGATATGGTACACCTTGTGGATAAAATCCAGGTGGCGGTGGAGCTAAAATAATAAAATCAAGTATAACATAAAAAATTTATACCATATAAAAATAAAATTCTTTACAAACAAAAATTAATTTGAAATAAAAATTATAAACAGACAATTGTGGTGCTATTAATCTATTATTAACAATTATCATTATCTTATCGCAGACGTATTCATAGTAAATTTATTAAACTTTTGATAACATTTTTATTATTTTTATATTATTAGATTATACATGAAAAATGTAAGTATACAATAGTTAATTTAAGTTTAAATAATTTTATATGGATAAAATTTAAATTTTACTTTAGAATATGAATATAATAATACATTATAATACAATTTTCTATGTCTAAAGCAATATTTTATTATTTATAATTAAATAGGTACCTATTCAAAAGTATGAGAAAAACAAATTGCAAACAATAAAATTTTTTTATAATTTATTTTTATTAATATCAAAATATGTCAAAAAAGGTACATTTAGTTAATGGTTAATCAAAATAAAATTAGTCAAATAATAAAATGTAGTCAATTTGTCATTAGTCAAATGACTATACCACATAAAGTAACTAATTAGTCACTTTTGTCCATCACTATAACCGTGCGCACATTATGTACTGGCAGTGAATATTATTAATTAATCCACTTACAAATTTTTAAATTCTTATTTATTACACATTTAAAATATTAAACAACTATGTAAATTTATTTAATATTTATAATATTAATATTATGTTTAAAATAATAATAAATATTAATTAATAGAGTATATACCACTATTCCAAATTTCAAGTTCATACAATTAGTAGTTTTTGAGAAATAGCAATAGTGAGTGAATAATATTTGACTTATATAATATAAAATCAATTTTGATTTTAAAATATTTATTTTCTTTGAATAATTTCAAATTAAATTACTAAGAGAGACGTTTAACATTTAAGTACACTCAATACAATATATGTCACCAATTAATTGTTACAAATATTTTAAATAAAGGTATTATTAAGTAACAAACCTGATCCAGTTCCATAGGGAGTCTGTGTCTGTTGCCACGTGCTCATCACAATTGTTTTTTAAAAAACTGAGTTAATCTAAAAAAAAAAAAAAAAGCTTAATTTGAATTAAATGATCATTATATTATAATATTTCATTAAATTATAAACCCAAGGACGTCTCAGAAAAAAAAAAGAAAATCTATAATGATAATTGTCAGCGCTACCATAAATTAAATATTCATGTACATAATGTATACTTAATCTATAGCACTATCAAGTTAGTAACAGAACCTTGGTTAAGGGGGGGCCAAGTTATAATTTTACAAAATCTTTTAACAATAAGAAAACAACAATTTTTACAACACAAAAATATATATTTTGATATTTATATATAAATATATAATTATATTATTTATTATTTTAATATATTTTTTGATATTTTTTTACAAAAATATCAATATAATATATTTGATCTAGAATATCTATACATTAATTAGACATAATGCAGATAGTCCATCTTTAGTCATAATTGAACGAATCCAGGTTTTTAGTCTCCGAAGTGTGGAGAAACTCCTTTCAACCGTCATACCTCTATAGCTCTATCTACATACTTTTGTATGTCGTATGATAGTCCATATTATAATATGCATTTTTTGTTAACAATATAAATCTTTTTATAAATACAGTAAGAACAACACTAAGGGGGGGGGGCAGCCCTTAAGCCCCCTGGTTAGCAATTATACTCGAACTAAAATTGATAATATTCATGACAAAAATCATGAAGGAATTTGCATTTAGTATACTATCATATAGATTGCTATGCAAACTATAATTAGCATAATCATTACAAACAGAATATAATTTAAATAAATGCTATAAAATAAGTAATTTATATAGAAAATACCAGACTATTTAGTACAATAAACATGTCTATTTGTATAAGTACCACTCATTAAACGTTGGTTCATATTGAAATGCTATAAAATATAAAATTATAAACGCAAATAAAAACTGATGAGTCATTGAGAAACAAACACAAAAACTCATTACTTGTAGGCCACTGTAGTAACATCTAGAATAGGTGATAAGATTACGCGAGATTGAAAACAAATTTCCGAATGTTATGTTATGAATAATTACGGGAAATCGAAAAAATTCATTTGAAACACCAACTATCCAGAAATTATTTTGCTCAATCTGATGCAACATGTTAATATTTTTAGGGATAACCGACTAGCCTTGAATTTGCGTTACTCAAAAAGCATTCGTTTATTATTCCGACAAGCACACACCCACCGTAAATATTATTAAATATAATTATAAATTACGTCGAACTCATTGACACCCGATCAAGAGTTGGAAAAAAGTTATACAGATATTTCGTGAGGGGGAGGGATTCTTAAAGATTTTAACACGAGTAAAATATTGTACTGAGAAATCGACAGACAATCGCAGAGCCATGATTTTCAATGAATTACAGTAGTTTTACAAAGCAAGATAAGAAGTACAAATGGAATATAAAATATAAAATCGCTTACTTGTTTAGGTGAATCAAATTCTTATTATCTTTTTAAAATAACAAGATCAAACACTCACGAACTAGTATTCGTATTACGTAATATTAACAAATCGGTGTACGACAGTCACTCGGATGTATCGTCGGCACGTTTTCAACACAGTTCCAAAATTTGTAATATTCAAGAAACGACGCGACGAAGTACGTACGACGACTGCAGTAGTACAGATATTGCGTACTCCAAAACGACTAACGTGTGAGAAAAAAAGTTGACAGCAGTTATCAAATAAACTCCGATTGACGTAAAATGGTAATCGAATGATCTAGAATGTCAACAATAACACAATAAGTTTGTGCGACTGTGGTGCATCAAGCGACAGAAACGGTGTACGACTGAATCAATGGTTCTAGGTAACTGTGAAGCGCTGAGTTAGGAATAGAAATAATGCATCACCGAACCGATAACCAAAACAGCTGTTGCCCATAGAGACGTTGCGTTACTACCGATACTAAGGCACTATAATATATGGGTATGCCACAGTTTAAGATATCTATCTTAAACCGTGGGGTATGCTAAGCCACCATTTTGCGACTCAACACTGATAAAATAAACGCGGGTAAATTCGTAATTCCATAATACAATCATTATTTATTTCACATTATTTTTATATTTTACTTTGGCCGTTGTTTTGTGTTTGGTGATTTGGTCTATGTACGTGTTTATTTTATTTACAGCTTGTATTTGACTCTTTCAAATAAAATAAAACTATTATTCACTCACATTATTTATTTTGTAATCAAACTTCAAATTTAGTTATTATGGGAGGTTGTACTGCTCCAAACTGCAGTAATTCTTGGAAAAACAAAATTAAATTTTTCCGTTTTTCACGAGAAGAAATCAGGACAAATGGGTTCAGAGTTGTAGGTTAGTTTTTCATAACTAACTAACTTTTCATATTTTTTGAAACCTCCCTTTAGTGTATTAATTTTTTTGTACAATTTATGTGTATTGTATTCATGGTGATGTTTTTCTGCTTCTTCCAAAATATTTTTGGCTCTTTTTTCATACTTAAATATATTGATTTCCCGTGGAGATATTAAGGGTGATACGGGACTTATGGAACATACTGTATAATGTGCGAAGTTACATGTACCCAAAGATAATCCCAATATCCAGTTTCCATTTTTGTTTTCTTTATCTCCACTAACCTAGGCTTTTTGTTTGGATCCTGAACATTGGTTTATTTTATAAGACTGGGTTGTTAACCCAGCGCTCAACCCCCAATCTGGAGGGCCAGACTACCCCGATCTATACAGGTTAGGGTAAGGCTACTGCAGTGTAATACAACATGGTATTAAACTGGGCGATGGAAGCGCCACATTCCCTACGCCAAATTATTGTTATTTACTATAGTATTTTTAAAAAATATCACAATCCATAGTGAAATTGGTTTCTTTATCGATATGATTAAGTGCCCGTTTACTGAGAAAACAAGAATTATCAAATATTACTTATAGACTATTTCTATGAATTTGAGGAATACTTACACGAATACTCAATATAACAGTAGCAACATTCGATATACATATAATCAAATAGTAACGATATTATAATATTAATTTTACCAAATTGCTGCTGAGTTAGAACATTGGTCCAATTCCAAATTTTTTATTTTATAAGAGACAAAATATTATTTTTTATGAAAATAATCATTTTGCCTCATTTATTACCATATAATAGTTTTACTTAATTTATAAATTATTGATTTTTAGATCAAGCTTTAAGATTTCAACCGTTATTAACAAATATATACACATATTTTATTAATTACCTTCATATTTTATTAATTTGGCTACAACAAAACCAAAACCTAATTCCAATAAATACGCTTAGAATGATTTAAAATCGTTTGTTTCTTCTTGAATGGGCATTTTATTAACCATAGATGATTTTCTAAAACTTTTTCAAGAAAAATAAAATACAAGATTATTATTTTTAAGAGATTTAGTCTTATACATAGATAAGTATATATTTTATTTATTAATTTTAAAGAACGGTTTTATTTTTACATAACCGATAAATCGTTAACGGTTCTATAGGTGTTCATACAACCTAGCATATGTCGGCTATTTCAATAAAAATAATTAAATAATGATTTGAACCTTTTAAAAAATATATACTAAAATATTCATATATATATTAATAATGAAATAGACTATTTACGATTTTAATGACGATGGAATAAATTATAGAATAATGGGATATGATTAATTTTATTTAATCCTCACTAGTTCATATATTACATAATTGAACCACATTGGAAACATTTCATATAGATGGTTTTAAAGATAAAACGAACTATTAAGTTTAATTATAAAATTAATTGAAAGTAATTTTCAAAATAAGTATATAATTAGATTTAATAGTTCGTTGATGTTTAAAACTTCGAAATATAAACCAATCACTTTACATGTAAATATGGAGAATCTCTAATTTAAATTTATAGATTTCGTTTTTTAATAATTAATCTTTATGTATTATTTACAAATTTTGATAATATATATTTGGTGATAACAACAAACTTATAACGTGGTGCTCTAATCCATATTACATTTTATTCTGTGATATTACTCTATGCTCTAATCCAAGGTTTATAGATAATATAAACTATATATAGGTATTATCTATAAACCTCGCTTTAATCGACTGCGAATAGACCATATAGTAACCTAACATATGGAATAGACAGACCATGGTCTTTTTAAGACCGTGAGACAGACCCTCTCTTAAACCGTGCCTGTGATAAAGTGAAGAATTTACTATAGAAGATATCAAATCTATTATCATATCATTAAATATATACGTTCATTTCTTCAAATAAGTAGTGTTATTTTATTTTTATTTTACGTGTATGGTACACAAATATAATAATTCTTGATAACATTTATAATATAATTTGTTATGTTATGTAGTTCAAATATTTATGCTCATATTATTTTTATTTGTGCGTGTGATGTCTTGCAGTATAAAATCTAATTTTTATTTTCTAAAACATCTGAATTCATAGGTAATCATGGTGTTTGAAACTTTGGTCGCTGATGTACTCAACAGGTTTATCGGCGAATATGTTGAAAATTTAGATAGTTCACAGCTTAACATAGGAATATGGGGAGGTAAGTTGAAATTTGAACACGTTTTATTCAAACATTAATGCTAAAAATGTTTAGTATTTCCTAATTAAAAAAAAAAGTATATTATACCAACACGTTTTTAAATGTGATTTTAATGTACCTCTTAATATCTAAATTGTTTTACCAGATATTTAAAATTATTGCTACTTAATGTTTAATTTTTATTTTAATAGGCACATTAAAATATTTGCCTCAATTTTTATTATTTTTCTTATTTTCTTATTGACTGTAACAAATTATTTTCTGAAAAAACAATAACACATGACATATGATTATTTAACTTTTACTTTTCTTCCATCATATTCTCTATTATTTCCATTATTAGTGCTTTCCAATTTATATTTTAATATTTAGTTTTCCCCTTTTTAACTATGTTATTCATCTATGCAACCAAATTATAATTCTTGGTTTTTCAATAAAGGAATTTAATTTTTAAAAAAAAAGGATTAATTTTTATTTCTTATTTTTAATTAATTTAAAAATTATTTTAACCGAACATTTTATGTTAAATAAGTGAATGTAAGTGTTCATAGTGAATGTGATGATTGATAAGCAAGGCTCTTTAGCTCTTATATAATACTGTCATATATTATACACGTATAATTACCATTGGTATAATAATTATTTGTGAGGGCTATAGCCATAGAAAATAATTTTTCATATATAAATATATTAATTTTATACTATATAAGATGTTTTAAAATAATGTATTACATTTTTAGTAAGATCCAATTTTTTTTTTAGGAGCCTCCACAGCCTCTTATCACATTAGGACGACTCGGGTCATACTCAATATATTTTATAACTATATGATGTCTTTAATGTACAGTTTATTAATTTTAACTTAATGATAAATATTTATTTTACTAGCACATTTTTATTCTGAAAATTATAATTTGTAACACTATATTTAACAATTCAATAATGATAAATTGTGTTATATTTTATAATGAATCTCCCAGTTGACATTTACCTTTACTCCATACTTGATATGTATTATTTACTTCTTTAAATATGAATTATATTGTATATCATGTTCAATGTGCAATTAATTATATAAATTTAGGATAATAATAAAATAATATTTTATTTTATTCACATTTTTTGCTTATGAGTATATATTACATTAATTAAATATGAACATTTCATAAAAAAAAATTCAAAAACTGCTTTATATTATAACATATTCTATTAATGTGTATGTATAATGTATATTAATGTTATTTACTTGATATTTATCTATCATTAATACAGTTATATTTTAATATTAATGACAAATCACATTTAAATTACATTCAAAATATTATTATTTTAGCTATTAAAAAATTGACTACAGTTTAAAAAGTAACATGCTACATTTAAATCCATATAAAGTGTAGTTGCTCTGTACAGTTAATAAAGTGCATTTTATGATAAAATAAGATAAGATAAGATGTATACTTTAAATCAGTTACATATTTGTTAGAAAGTCTTGTATTTTTAATCTAAATTAAAACAATAAAAATATTATTAAATATTGAAATATATATAATGGTGTAATTTAATAATTTTGAGTTCCAATTTTATTGTTTCATTCAGATAAAATATTCAATAATTATAACAATTTCAGTTTAAAATTTCTATTTGGAATTTCTTACTTATTTAGTTGTATTAAATAATTTTATTATAAAATAAAAACTAATACATAATACTAGGATTAGAAAATAATATTTAAAGTTTAATGTAAGATTATATGCTGATGCTAGTTAATCATTATTATGTAATTTTACATTTAATTTTGTTTTGTATTATTTGTTTTGGTAAAAAGACAATTAGCATTACCTTGTGTCCTATTTACATTTTTATATAAGTATGTATAGTAATGCAAATAACACATTATTTTTTATATTTCATTTATCCAATCCTATGGTTTTTTTATAGGAGATGTTGTATTACGTGATCTTAAGCTAAAAGAGACATGCTTAGACAGTTTAGATCTACCTATCAGAACTATTTATGGACATCTAGGTAAATTTAAACAACTTTTATTTTAGAGTTGTACTATGTTTGTTTAAATTATTTATGAGTTTTTTATTTGTTATACAGGCAAGTTAGTTTTAAAAATACCATGGAAGAATTTATATAGTGGATCAGTTGAAGCATCCATTGATAGTCTTTTTTTACTTGTTGTTCCAACACAAGATGTTAGTTATGATTCAGAAAAAGAAGAAAAAAACAAACAGACTGTTAAACAAAATGAAATTTCAAGGATTGAAAATATAAAATTATTGGATCAACAAAAAAACAGTATGTAAATATTAACTAAAAATGCATTCATTTTAATATTGAAATAATAATTTGTTTTTTTACATCTTATTATTGTAAAAAAATAATTGTATTATGTTATTTATGAGCTATACTGATAAAAGTATAACTATCCTTATATAATAAATATTATGAATTTAAAAAATAAAAATAACATATTCAATTTCATAAATCTGATTTCTACAGTTTTAAATATAAAAGAGAGAGAAATAACTTTTATTTAAATTTAAAGTGAGCTTCCCACCATGTGGGTTGCCATAAGACTTAGTATACTAATCAATATATAGATACATCAGGTTATTTTTAATTTACAATACAAATACATTTATTAAATTAATTATACAAACGTGTAAATATAACTAACTATAAAGCAAAATGTTATGACTAGGGTTTGTAAGTTAATCCCTTGAAAAATTCCTAAATGAACATGCATTTATGCACTTAAAAATGCCAAAATATGCTTTGAAATGTAGTTAAAAAGTTAAAAAAAATATGCATTATATTCACTAAATATCTAAACTTATGCACTTAAAAAATGTTTACTTAAAAAAAATCATGAATAATTTTTGAAATAATATGAATTATTCGTTCATTTTTTTTTTTATAGCTATATTTTATTTATTTATGTTGCAATTAAAAAAAAATAATAAAAGATTTCAAATACTATTTAATTTACTTTTCTTGAGCGTTCATCAACTGCGTATAATGTACATCTTTGTCAGTAATTTATTTTAAATCTGAAACTTTTGAAACAACTTTATTCATTAAATGTACAAGTATCAAAAAGATAAGAAAAGAAAAGATAATACAATTTCTATTTTTAATTTTATATATATTTTCCATTTACATTTTTGATAGATTTTAATAGAATGTTGTATAATATGCTCGATAAAATAAAAATATGCATAAATATACTAAATATATAAAAACATGTCAAATATGTAAAAACATGCAAAATAAGATTTCACATATTTAACTATGGTACCTTGAAATGGATTTCTATATAATTTAGCATTAAATACAACAAGATTGATATACAAATGCATGAAATTACAAGCCCTGGTTATGACATATAGTTAAATGTAGTAAGCAGTGAAAAATAAACCTAATAAAAATGATAGTTATGGTGTAGTTAATTTTTTTTTTTTTTTTTTTTTTAAGTAGATATTATAACTTATGTAAAACAAAGCTATCTATTAACATTTAATAATTATTATTATTTGTTATTTTTTAAATTTTGTTTAGAATTGGATCAAGATAAAGTAAAAGATTCTTTTGTTGAAAAATTGGCAACTCAGATTATAAGAAATGTACAAGTTAATATAAAATCAATCCATATTAGATATGAAGATCGAATAACATTTCATAATAATCCATTTTCTTTTGGTTGTACACTTTATGATTTAACTTCTTTTTCGACGGATTCAAATTGGAACAGATTTATTGATAAAGGACAAGATCCACTAGCCATGATATATAAGGTAGAAATTGAATTTAATAAATTAATCATATTTTTATTAAAAAATTAATAATGATTTCAATAAATCTATTATTATTTGTTATTTATATTACTCTTTACTCTCAAGTGGCAGGTATATATTAGATTTTGATAATTATTATGAAAGAAAATGTTAATAATATATTATTTATTGGTTAAAGCAAAATAAATATCCTTTTAAATCTATTAATTTTTTTATTTATTTTATGTATTGGTGAATTATTAAATTTGTTAAACTTATATTAAATATATGTTAGTTTAAAATTGGAATTATGAATATTTTAATTATTTATAGGGTTTGTAATTTATTTTAATTGTATTTAAATAGATCATTTCTATGGAAGGATATGCTGTATATTGGAACTCTAAAGGTCATCTATTTACCGAAAAACCAAAGGAAACTTATAGAGATTCCTTTAGAGATGGTATACCTAAGAAAGATGTTCTCCCTGATGGTTATGAATATTGTAGGTTAATTATTATTTAAAATTTTACTTTTGGTATCTTCATTAATTAAATATTATAAAAACTTATAAATTCTTAATAATTATTTGTATAATTTTTTGTTTTATTTAGTATTTGGTCCAATTAATGCCAATGCTAAAATGAAAATGAATCCAAAACCAGAATTAGATGGTAGCGATTTTACCATACCAAAATATTCCATAAGTATTATCATGGAAAGTTTAAATTTAAGTAAGCAAATGTACTTTTTTCAATTAATTTCATCAAATTACTTATCAATTGTTTTACATCTTAAATAATATATTACATATAGACCTTAATTTCAAAAATACAAAATATTATAAAAACTCATTAGATATCTATCCTCTCCTTTTGTGACCAGGTCTTAAAATCTAGGACTTGTTTGGTCATATTATTATAGGTAATATCAGATAATGTATAAAACATAAATAAAGTATTAAATCAAATATTAAATTTATTTAATCATAGAAAAAAATTTTTTTTCATTAATATTCAATTTGATTAAGATTACCAACCTTTAACACTGTACTAATTTATGGTATAGGAATCAGTAAAATTCAGTACCAACATTTGATTATGGCTGCAGAATCTCTTGATCGTTTAACTAAAGCAGTGCCCTACAGAAAATATCGACCAATGTTACAAGAATATAAAGGACACTATAGAGAATGGTATTTACTATTTTATTTGTTTTTAAAATATTATTATCATGTCATTGTTTTTTTAATTAAATTTTAAATGTGATTATATTTCTCTATGCTTTCTGACTTGCTTACTTAAATTTTAAAAAATAACAATAATATTTAATGAAATTTGTAAATTACAAAGCATCTGTCTTTTGGTCAGTTTCATATAGTTAATATTTTTTTAACATATTTTATCGTTGTGGAAAAAATGTATTTTCAATTAGGTATCATTTATTTTATTTTTATTTTACATATGCGAATTAGATATTATAAGATGTAATCAATAATTTAACATAACTTAAATAAATTATTATTTTTTTTTTTTTTATATTTATTGACTATCTGTTGTAAGAAATTAATTTTTGAATTGTATATTAATGATAAATATTATATGCCACTGAATAGCTCAGCAAATTAAAGATTTCGTGTTTGATTCCTGTTTGTGTCGTAGAATAAATGTAATCTATTTCATCTATTCTATGGTTTAGTGACTAATATTTTGAGCTTTTTTGAATTTCATATACTATTATATATTGTATATATTATAATATTATTTCTTTAAATTAATTAATATTATATTAGAATAACATGTAAATTTTTTTTTAAATTAAGGTGGAATTTTGCCTATAAGTGTATTTTAGAGGAAGATATAAGAAGAATACGTAAGAATTGGGATTGGTTACATATGAGTACTCATAGAAAATTAGTTAAAGAGTATAGTGTTCTTTATAAACAAAAACTGGAATCAAAAAAGCCATCAGCAATAACAATGAATAGAATTACTGAAATAGAAAAAAATTTAGATGTGATGAATATTATCTTAACCAGACAAAGAGTTGAAAACGAAGTAAGATTGTTCACAGTATTTACTAAATACTATTTAGTTAAATGTATACAAATTTAACTTTTCATTAATTTTATGGCTTCCTTTTTTTTATTTGTATTTTTTATATTTTTTATTTTTTAATTTTCCATATCATACTCATCCAATAATCAATCCGTCTCTTTTAATTCTTACACTATTTCTTTTAGTTTTTATGTCCTTATATTAATTTTGTCTTAAATTATTTTTTTTTATATTTATTATCAAATAATAAAATACTCTTTTAATTATTATTATTACCATCACTACTTTATCATATTTTATTTATAATATTATTTATGTACTTAAATAATACTATATCTATAATAAAATGGCATGTTAAAACCTAAAAAAATATATATTTTCTTCTAACCAATTAATAAATTAAGAAATAATTAGTTTTTTTGTAAACAAATTTTTTAAAAAAATGTACTATTTTATTTTATTATTTTTAAATAGTTTATACAAGATGTAATTTTATTTATAGGTTGAGAGAGAAGGAAAAATTCAGGAAGAGATAAAAAAAGTAGAATCAGAACGTGGTTGGTTTAGTTTTTGGCGTACTAAAAATAATGATGAGGAAGAAAAAGAAAAAGATATTAGTACATTTTATATATTTTTATGAAAGTAATTTTTTTTAAAATTTATTTTCTGATTTATAGTTAAACAGTTTGAGGAAGCTATGAATGCAAGTGAAAAAGAAAAATTATATAGAGCAATTGGTTATCAAGAAAGTTCAGCTACAACAATTTATCCAGAAACATTTATAGACACAACATTTCATTTTTGTTTGCATTCATTAGAAATATCTGTTTTTGATGAGGAATTTACATCAAAACAAAAAGTATTAACCGTCAATTTTAATGGTTTTGTTCTAGACCTTCAGAGAAGATTAACAGCTAATGCAATCAAGTATTATAATTCATTTATTTATATATTATATTTTAAATTGTCTGGCACATTATAATTTTCTTTTCTAGAGTTGAAGCTTCTGGTAGAACATTATCAGTATTTGGTTTACCACAATTAAATAAAGTGCCAAAACTTATCACTTCAAAAGCAATTGATCAGTATAAAAGTGCTCAAGATTTAGCATTTTCTCAAGACATTGATCAAGATGGTACTGATAGACAAGTTTATTTATTCAATTTATTGTTTGAGACAAATCCTCTTGATCAACATTGTGATAGTAGAGTAATATTATCATTCAGACCTTTAAAAATGGTTTATGATGCCCAAACCATAATAAAAATTATGAGTATCTTTACGCCTCAAGAGTCAAATGTGACTACACAGTATGTCAATTTTATATTTTGTTTATAATTTTAAAATCGATAACAAATTAATTAAATTTAAATTTTATGCTTAAAGATTAACTTTAACTATAAAATTAATAGAAAAGTTTTTCATTGCCAAATCAAATAGTTTCAAATATAATTTTATTTTCGTATAACTATATAATATATGTGTACAATATGTTTTAAATATTTAAAGATTACAAGTAGCAGCAGGAACCAAATTAGCAGAAATAAAAGAAAAATCTGCACTGGGAATGCAACATATTATAGATGAACATAAAAGACTCGAAGTAAAGATAGATATGATGGCATCTTATATTGTTATACCTCATGGTGGATTTTACAAAAAGTATGTAATTGTATTAAAATAATAAAAATATGTATAATATTTTTTAAATTAAAATGTATATTATTTTTTCTTTCAGAAATCAATCTTTATTAGTTTTTAATTTAGGTTGTTTAAAAATAAAATCTAAACCCCAAAATTTGGATGATGTTACTATACAGTCAATGCATAAAATGGGTGCATCACAATCTGAAGTATTACAAGAAATTGTTAGTCGGAGCTATGATCGTTATTATATTGAACTAGAAAATGCCCAAGTATATTTAAATAAAATCATATATTTAATATACATTTAATAATAAATAATAATAATTTAATATTTTTTTATTTAGATTTTAATTGCTAATAAAGGTGAAAATTGGAAAAATAAATTTAATGAATCATTTCAAAATGAACTTTACATTCTTAAGCCTACAACTTTATCCATTCAAGTGGAAAAATGTTTAATAACTGATGATCCTCGTTTGCCATTACTTAAGGTTACTGGAGAACTTCCCGCTATTGATATTAAAATAGCAGGTAAACATAAAATATTATGTGTAGTATTGTATTTTTTTCAGTTGATACAATTAAATGAAAGTTTACATTGAAAAACTAATTTTATTATTGTTTTAGTAATTATATTAATTGGTAAATTTTTGTAAAAGTCAAACATTTTATATATTTTTTCTTGTCTGTAGTTAAATTTTTTGAACGATTTTATCTGAAAAGTATTAATAATTTATTTTGATAAATAACATGATATGTTAGTATTTATTTCGTCTTTGAGTTGTAATTAATATTATATCTCATTATAGAAAATCGAATTTTGGATGCTCTATCAGTATTTTTGAGCATTCCTTTGCCAAAAAGAAATAAAGAAATTGATGATAATCCTCATGTAAGTTATTTTGATCAATAATTAATTTATACATTTTTATGATATAAATAAAATTTGTGATAAAAAAATAGTAAAATACTTTTTACATTTTTAGTGAAAAAAGCAATGTATTTTTATACCATAATATATTTTTTTGTTTCTATAAACACAATTTTGAATAAAAGGACTGCTCTGATCATCAAAGTCATAACAAATTTTTGATAGGAAATATTGTCTTGGAGTTATTGAAATTCCCAAATTTTAAAAACAAATTTTTTCTGAGGAAAAAGTTAGAATAACTATGTTAAAACTACCTTAATAAGAATTTTGGTTTTACTACTATATATCTTTCACTCAAAATTGATTTTTCAAGAGCAAAAGTACAATGATTTCAAGTTTCAAAAACACGATATTGTATAACATATTACAACAATATCAAGATATATTAATACCATTCATACCTGTGTATCTCACCCAATCTTGGAGTTTTTCTATTTTTATTTTTTAAAACATGTATATGAATTGTTTTTTTTAAGGATTTTGATATACTTGGTTCAGCAATGTCACTACGACAAAAGATAGATTCATTTAATATGACTAGAAATTTAACTAATCAAAGAAAAGAAGCAGAAAAAGCTTCTGATGTGAATGTACAATTCACATCATTAGATGTGAAATTGGTTCTTAAACGTAAGATACAAATTATTTATAATATATTATAATATGATTAATGAGTTATATTTGTTCTTTCTTAATTTTTTAAATTGATAAAAATTTGTTCGTAATTATAATTTAATTTATTATTAATTTAATATTTTAGGTTTGTCAATTAAAGTTTTATCTTATGATGATAAAGGCTCTTGGTTAAATCCATTGTTAGACTTTAATTTGTTAACTCTGGAATTGTCATTAACACAGCAAACATTTAAAACTAATATTGCTTTGAAATTGGGTAGATTATTTTTAGCTCAATATTATAAAGATACCATCATACCTTTAGTTGATACACCAAATGAAGATGAAAACCAATATCTTTTACTCATGAATTATACTCTTGTTAGTATTTCCTTTTAATTACTCTTAAATGTATGTTTTTATTAACTTAATTAATTGAATAACCAATTTTTATAGATTGATAAAAATACTTCAGAATTTCATACTACTTATGATAATGTATTGCAATTACTTGAATTAAACTTCACTAAGTTATTAGCCACAGCTAATAGAGATGCATTGCTTTACTTAATTGATTGGATGAATAGTGTCAGTTCAAGTATAAAAGATATGCAAAAACTGTATAATTATAATATTGATGAAGATATGACTGCTCCAATCCAATTTCAAAAACCCAATAGACTCAAAAGAATGCATTTAGTTTCTAATGCATTATCAACTATTCTTGAAGAATCTGCAGCTAGCAAGGTTCAACAATGTATGTAGTATTTTATGTAAATATGGTATTTACATTGATTAAAATATAATTTCATTAAATATTAATATCCTATATTTAGTAAATAAAAAATTAATTGAGGAGAATGATATCATTGGTTTAAAGTTAATTGCTCAAATTGGAGAAATACAACTTATTATTGTTACTGAAGTTGATGATTTAGCACATATGTTTATAACTAAACTCGAGTCTTGTATTACAATGAAAAAATCTGATATTCAAATTGATGCTAAACTTCAAAATATTAGTGTATTTGATCCATCTCCAGATACTATTTATAAATATGTAAGTATTGAATATATTTTAAATATTGATTATTTTTAAAGACAAATATTAGCCAATGCTTGGAAAGTTCCTTAAAAAAAGAAACCAAATTTTTTCCATTCTTAATTTGAATAAGAAAATTAATTCTTTTTCTTGTTCTTCATTAAAAAGTATTTTTAGTTATTATAAAATTGAAGTATTATAACTGGTGGTTATTCCAGCCTCAAACAATGTCAAACCAATGAGATCAGCAAAACTGACTTGCCATTTTGTAAACATTGTCAATGTTAGCTTGTTTGTGTTAAATTGTATAGTTCTTTATGTATAAACAACTTTATTAAATATAAATAACAATAAAGCGAGTTGTACATATTTTGAGTTACCGGTTGACAATGATTACTGAATCGATCTCTGAATAATAATAATAACTGAATAAATTAAGTAGCTAAATTTCTAAAAAAAAGTTATAAAAAAATTTTCTCTTAGTTCTAAAAACTATTTAAATGATTTATATTTAAGAAAAAATAAAGCAATAATATCATTCATGTTATTCTAAAAAAGTTAATGAAATTCAAATAAGTTCCTCTACAAAAAAAAAAAAAAAACTGTTCTTTATAAGTTCCTAAAAATTTAACTAAATCAAAATAATGAGTTTTTTTTTTTAAGATTTCTTTCAAGCACTAACACTAACATATCAATTCTCTTAGTTTCTGGACAAAATACTAACATATAATTTTATTAAGCAATTCATGAAATACTTTTATTTTTATTTAATTAGATAATTCATGTTGCTGAAAACGATGAAGCCTTAAAACTTCAAATGATAATGTATAATGAACAATATCTTGTTGAGTATGATTCACCAGAAATGTACATTTCAATTTCATCAGGATGTATTAAATGTGTATTTTTAAATTGTTTTATGACAAAATTAATCGTAAGTTTTTGATGAGCTTTTAATAACATGGCAATATCTGTTATTTATTTTATTTTTTCCAGAACTTTATTAATCATTTTCAAGCTGGAAAAGCTGCTATGTATGAAGCTGGAGCTGCTGCAGTAGCAAGTGCTAAAATGAATGTAAAATCAGCTACTCGAATTGCTCTTAATATAAATTTGAAAGTATGTAATTAGTATGCATGATTTAAATATTTTTTATATTCATTATTTTATTTATGTAATAGGCTCCAGTTTTTATAGTACCTCAAAATTCTCATAGTTTGGAAGCATTGTGTTTTGATTTTGGTTATTTGTCTATTACAAATAAATTTTTAATTATTCATAAGGGAAAAGACCATATTCCAGCTATTATTGATGAATTAAGTTTGAATTTACAAAATTTGAAAGTATCTAGGTATGATTATTTAAAATTGTATAATTATTTAGTATATAGCTATTTAAATTATTGTATTATTATTATTTTCAGAGTACAATTGAATGATGGTATAAAATTTTTTTTGTTTGACTGCCTTTTGTTACAACCCATAACATTTTCTCTCATAGTCAAACGAAATTTATCCTCTGCATGGTATACTGATCATCCCGATTTTGATATTGTGGCTAAATTTGATTCTATTAAAGTATATTTTATATGATTTTGGATAATAGAATCAATTGAATAATAAAAATTGTTAATTTAGGTAACCGTTAGTCATATTGATTACATTGTAATTATGAAAGTTTTAAATGAAAATGTAAGCGAAGGAAAAGATGAATTAACAAATTCAAATGATCAAACAAGTTTAAACATATCTCAAAATAATTTGAATGGTTAGTTTTTATTAAAATAATTAAGTATTTACTTGTTGCATTAATATTTCTAATAATTTTTTCTAGAAATCAAAGTGATTGTTGATGTTGAAAAAAATAATTCTCAATTACAAGAAATTAGAACATTAGCTAAGTTTGAATTTTTCGTAAAAAATATTATTCTTGAACTATTCAAAGAAGGTCCTGATAAGGTAGTACACTATTATTTAATTTGTTACAACTAAAAAAATAAATATATAAAAAAAGATTTTCCAACATTTAAGATTTAAACTTGTAAATATTTTTTATTTATGGGTAATATAATTGATCACTTATCATACAATTGGTAGTTTTACTTATTAAGACTGAAAATATAGCACCAGAATATTTTAACTTTATTTAAATTATCTCGTAATCTCATCTAATAATTTAATTTTTAATAATTACTACCTATAGCTTTTATTATTATTTAAGTATAAATAGCTATGACATGTACTATGAAATAATTTTAAATAATTATTAAATTTGAATTTATTCTTGACATTATTATAAATTCTAGATTATTTTTATTCAAGTTGTTAATATTTTCATTTAATTCATTTAATTTAACAAATAAACTATGCTAGGGATGTTTCCTGAAATTTAATAATTAATTGAGTTTTTAAATTTTTTCTAATCAGACTATAATACAACCATTATTATGATTTCTTTAATAATTTAAAAAATATTTTCTACTATTAAAAATTAATAATAATAATATTAATTGCTAATTTTAAATTTATGTATGTGGCTATTTTTATTTAATTTTTATTTTTTTGATACATTATCTATTCTAAGAAATCTATTTTTCAAAATATATATTGGATTACTTTGTTAATCAATACCTACTTAAAATGAATTTTATTACTATTTTTTATTTTTTTATTATTTTAATTGTTTAGAATGGCTTACAAATAAAAAATAACAGTATGGGACAGTTTATGTTTTCATCATTGACTGTTAATGGATCAATGCAGACAGATCTTTCATTATCTTTAATATTATATTTGTTAGATGTCATATTAGACGATACTCGAGTAAACAAATATTCAGGAAATAAGGTAGTACGTTATATGGAAAGAAAAAAAGGTAATCTTGAAGATGAAAATTTACAAAATACAATTGATATTAAATATAAACAAACACTTGCTGGAGCTGATGGTAAGTTTTTTTATGGTAGCCTGATAATATTTATTATTTTTAATTATTATGTTTCTAGTTCAACTAAAAATATTCAGTTTTAATTTAATATTCAATGTTGAGTATATACAGTATTTGTTAAATTTCTTTGTATTGCCATCCCAAAATCAAGATTTAGCAATTAATGATCCAACCAAAAACATAAAGCAAAATATAATGGTTAGTAGTTTACAAAAAAAATTATGTTAAGAAAATTATATAAATATTTTTATGAGTAATAATTGTTTTATACATTTTTAATTTATCTGTAAAAATGTTTCAGAAAGAAAAATCAAATGCTTTTGAGCAAAAAGATAATAATAAAACACTTTTGTTAAAAGTACAGTTAGAAAAGCCTGATATTATATTAGTTGAAAGTTTAGATGACATAAATACAAATGCAATAATAATGAATGTAATTTTACTAATGAACTATTTAACAGTATAAAAAAATATATATATTAATATTTCAAATATGTTATACAAATTATAGACTGAAGCTACATTGAAATTGCGTATGTCTACCCCAACTCGTCAAACTGTTAATGGAGAAATTAAAGATTTGCAAATATACTCATGCTGTTATAATCCACTAAGAAGAAAAGAAACTATGAATTTAGTAAGTAGTGATTGTTAAACATTTTTAATCAGAACTTCAATTTAATTCTTAATTTGAGTAGATATTACGTCCAGTTACTATTAATGTTATCGGTTCTACTCCTGATGATACTTGTCTTCATGTTGATGTAACTATGACTCCTTTAATAATATCAGTGACTCCAGGTAATCAGTTTCCTTTTTTGTGTATTTAAGTTAATTTTAACATTGTTAAATGTGGTTTTTTCAGCTAATATTGAGATGTTAAATCGAATTAATCAAAGTTTAACCGAAAAAAAAGAAAATATATTCCAAGAACCAATATATGATGAACAAGAATTTGAAAATTTATGGAATAAAACTCAATTTAATGATTCAGAATTCTGGTTCTTAAAAACTGGTTAGTGTATTTTAAATCAATTTAATTTAACTTAACTTTTTAATCTCCTTTAATCACGAATTTCTCGTCTGAAATATTTTTTTTATTTCTATTTCTATTGTTACACTGCTCACATATGCTTATTGTGCAAATCGTACAGATTGTATATTTCAAATTAAAATTTAAAAAAAAAAAAAAAAACTTTTTAATTAATGAATACCAATCAAAGATTGTTGTTTGGATATGTTTTAGAATTTGGTGCTGAAGCTTCTTTATTAAATAATGATAAAACTGTTCCTGCTCTTAAAAAAAGTGAAGTTTGTTTAATATCTATTCCTTCAATAGTTTTCACAATTGAAGCAGGGATTGGTACAAAAACAATGCCAATGTTGTTAACTGAGTGTACGTTTAATGGTTCTGTTAATAATTGGAGCTCAAAAGTAAGTAATATGGTGTTTTAATGTATAAGAAATAAATAATAATTTAGAATATTATAATATGTGTATAATAAATAAGCTGGAATAAATAATTTAACTTATTTAATTTACATTAATTTATAATATTATTTATTTAGATATATAAACTACAGTTTTATATTACATAGATATATAATAACTTTAACATATTTTTTTTTTTTATTATTAGATTGAAAGCAAAGTATATAAAATAGATTGCCTATTTTTTAAAAAAAAATTTTTAACATTCTCGGATTCTTTGAAATTAATAAAAAAAAAATGAAATCATTGTTACTTTTTATTCCTATTACTAATAATGGTATTGCAAAAAAAATGTTTAGTTATCTGTTGCGGGTGAATTAACAATGCAAATGAATTATTATAACAGTCGATTAGCTCTTTGGGAACCATTTATTGAACCTGTTGAAGTTGAATCAGCTATTGGTCCCAAGTATAATCCATGGTTACTTGAACTCAAGGTAGTATTATTTGGCTTAATTTAAACTTCAATTGAAACATAATAATAACATATTTTTCAAATTTAACAAATGTTTTAGTTGGAGACTTTTGACCCAAATCAAAGTCCCCAAGATGAAGTATTCCAAAGGAAACCAGCAATGAAAATTTCTTTAATATCATATGTATGATTTTTAACTTTAGAATAATTATATTCTGATATGGGTATAAATAAGATTTATTTTAATAATGTATTCGTTATTATTTTAGGAAACTATTGAAATAACAATGACAAAAACAGCTTTGGAGGTATTAACAAGTTTAGGTAAAGCATTTAATGAAGCAATCACAACTGAAATACCACTTTCAAAACGAATTGAAGCTGCACCATTTGTAATACAAAATAATCTTGGGTTTAATATAACTCTCATGATATCAAACTCCCCATTTAAAGTATTATTAAAATAAACCTTTAATTATGTATGTTATTGAATTTATTATTTTTAATTTATAGGTATACAATATTAGTAGTAATGAAAAATGTATAGAGGGTGATAATACAGTTTTAAAAGATCGAGAACAGATTAGTCTTTGTCTTAAAGACGATGATTCAGTGTCAGTTAATTTACGTCAAAATAAGATTACTGAACGTTCTTTAAAAATTAAGGTAAATATATATATATATATTTTTATTTATTATTTAATTATTATGTTTAAAGACCATCTAAAAATACTATTATTTTTTCAGATTCAAGAAAATAATAATATTACAGAATTTAGCTTACCAATAGTTAAAGCTGATAAAAGATTTTTTAATATTAAACATAAATTAAATACTGTTAATGAACCATGGGGATTAGTAACTGATACACAAGTAATTGATGGTAGTATGGTTGTTACATTGAGGAGTGTTGTACAAGTAAGTTTTTTTTTTTAAAAAAAATTGCTATAATTTTTATGAGCTTTATTTTTATTGTTTAATTATTTTTTTAGATTCATAATCATTTTAATGAAAGTATATTTCTTTATTATAAAAAACAAGGGAAATTAAAAATGATTGGTAAAGCAAAACCGAACAAACCATTTAATTTACCTGTACATTCAATTTATACACAAACCAAAGAAATATTTTTTTGTCCAGAAAAGTAAATTAATTAATAATATATGTCTTTGTTATTTTAATTATGCTTTTGTTTCTAGGTATCAAATATGTATTAAACCTTTTATTTGGAAAGACATTCAACCAGTGATGAATTTAAGAGCATTATTACAATGTCCACCGAATCAAGTAGAAGATAAAGATCCATTTTTCATACAAGTATATTCTAATAAAAAATGTATCATATTTTACTGGTATAAATAATAATAATATTGTAAAAATTAGATCCTTGGAGTTATGGAGCACATATATTTTGAGCATACAGATCGATATTTAATGTCTAGTAATTGCTACAACATTCATTTATACCCCACAGTTATATTAGTCAATGCTCTTCCTGTAAATTTAAATTGTATAATGCAAGGTGATTCTGAACTTAAAACTTTAACTCCAGGAGAAAAAATAAACTTACCTATTGTTGAAATTGGGTATTCTTGTCTTACACTGCAGGTATTTATGATTTTATTTTTAAAAAAATAATTAAGTTATAGTTAGGTTTGCTATTATAGCCGAGTAATATAAAAAGGATACTATACTTAAGTATTAAGTCACTTATTTAAATTTGGTTGCCAGCCGTTTCACTTTACGGACAAAAACATTGTTCTTAGAGAAGAAACTGAGTCCTCCCATTTTTTGTGATAATATCATGACATAGCACTCTTTTGATCGATTTTTCTTCCTGTCTCCTTATCGTTTATTTATAAACTTTCCATCTTCACATTTATTATAATGATAATTTTTTTTAAAAAAATCTTGGTTTCAACAGTAAAAGAGCAGATTCTATCCACTGATTGTTTGCCTTTGGCATATATAAAACCAACCTTAACTATCATTAATAGTTGTCTGAGCCAGTCTTCATCTTGTCTGGCGATCATCACCTTCATCATAAAATTATTGATCAGGTCCCAGTTTCTATATTCCTCAGAATCACTCTTGTTACTGTGTCTAGGTAAAAATTTTCTTCTAGTACTACTTCCAATGTCAGTTCGTTCCACCAAAAATCACAGAAATATTGCATATTCTGCATTATCAGATGATGTGAAACAATCAATGCAGCTTAGGCCTCCTACTTTTTAAAATTTTGAAAATATTGACTCGAGCAGCTGTTGTTAAATAGCATCTTGCATTGGGTGGAAATGAACACAACTAAATTTTCTCTTAGTGCACGTCCATCTTCCTGTAGTGTCAGCATCCTATTCTGCCTGTCACATGTTGAAAACCTCTTATATATTTTTCTTTTTTTTTTCTATCCAGATAATTTATAATTTAATACTTTCTCATCCATTCCCAGACTTGCACGGGGACTATTCCTACTATTATCATTACTACACCTATGGACATTGTTCTTTACAACATCACCATCAACTAAGTGTTCCAAAATATAATTATAACCCATTGATCCCTACTATACATAACCAGTTAATGTGCCTTGTTGTCAAAAAATAACAATAAATTAATACAATTAAGTAGATATTAGATTGATAGCTATTTTATATGAAAATTTTATGTCACTGGTATAGTGATATATTAAGTTCAGGTTAACAATATTCTGAGAATTTTGGGTTACATCTTAATAAATTTACTTTTATAATAAATAGTTTTTTTATTTTTATTAAAAAGCAAAATCATCAAAATAAATAATGATGAAATAATGTTGAATAAAATTGGTATTCTAAATAATTAATGATATAATATATTATATAATATATAATAGTGAAAACAAGAAAAGAAAACATAAAATATTACAATTCATTAGATTTCTTGTTTTTCTCCAAAATTAAGAATTGAAAATTTGTTGTTTTTATTTGATTATTGATGATAAAATGTGATAACTATTTTTTTATAGATAAAATATTTAGATAAGTACTGGGATTGTAAATGCACTATAGAAGAACATCCAGATGAATTTTCCATTTGGTCTTTTTCTAACAATGAAGATAAACCTGATACAAAAGCAAATGTTATAAATTTTGGCATTCGAACTGAATTTCATGAAGGTGGAACTCATATAAAAACACTTTATTGTCCACTTTGGATGATAAACAAAACTGGAAGAATTCTTACTTATAAGGTACTAATACTCTATTATAATTAAAAAAAAAATGTTATTCAATAATTAAATAAAAATTTACATAAACAAAAATTTCCTATAAAAGTAGCAACAATTTATTATCTTAAATATAAAAACACTTTTTTTCTTCATTTAAAATGTATGTAAAAATTTGTAAGTTAAAAATTAAAAATAATTTATAACTTTTATAGGCTGCCGATGATGAAGAAAACATGTTACAACATTCATCAAATCCAACAGAACCTTTAATGTGGTCTTTTAAAAAGAAAATATTTTTTGCTAATAAAAGAGCCTACGTTAAAATAGATTCAGGTCTGTGGTCTGACAGATTTTCATTAGATGTAGCTGGAAGTTCTGGATCAATTTTATGTAAAACAAATAACATTCTTTACCAAGTAATATTGTTTTAATTATTTATTAAATTGTATCATTATTTTCTAACCAATATTTTTTTCCAAGATTGGTGTTCATATTCAACTTACTAACAACTCTTTAACGAAACAAGTTACCTTATCACCATTTTATATTGCATCTAATCAATGTCCATTTGCGATTGATTTTCAAGAAGTGAACCAAGAACAAAATTCTTGGATTAAAGTAAATTTAAAATTTATAAATTAATGACTTTATAAATAATATGAATTGTACATTTAATTAAAATAGGTTGATTCCAATGGTTGTATGCCATTTTGGCCTCAAAATATTACTGATAAACATAATTTAACTGACAAACTATTTGTTGTTCGCATATTTGGCACTTCAGATACTTCTACTCCATTGCCATATTATAAATCAAGAAGTGATTTAATACGTCTTCGTAATAAAGTAATTTATTTTTTCTAATACATTAGCTTTAAATTTTTCTTTTTTTAATTTTACCTTATAAATAAGAAATATTACCCATTTTTTATTGATAGACAAGTTATAATATTAAAAATATATTTATAGTATAGTGCTATTCAAGTGGATACTCAAATAACCGAAGGTGGAACTTACATAACATTTAGTCCCTATGTGGAAGGAATGGCACCTGCTTTAATAATTAATCATACAGAAAATTATCTAAAGTTCATTGAACATGATCTGTCAGAGTATTTAGATGAAATGTTAGTTATAAACATTTATAGTGTTAACGTTTTTGGCTAATAAGCTTTTTTTATGTAGGAAAATATTACCTCCTAAACACAAAATGTTCTTTGCATGGTCTACTCCAACAGAAAACCCTATTATTTATTGGAACATGATGCAGAATCAAGCAGATTTAAGAAAAGTTGGTTTTATTTTAATATTTATTGATATAAGTATGTAATATATGGTTTAAAGCAGTGCTTCTCAACATTTTCAAACTGCCGCCCCCGGTTCAACATTTGTGAGATGAAGCCGTAAGTCTTCTCTTTTGACGATGTCTAGTCGATTTCTTTTTTCGTTATTAAATAATAATGCACTGTTTTTGATATATGTAGTTATATATATATATATTTATATATTTATATATTTCATAATCACGAATTTATTTTAGAAATTGATAAACAGAAAACAATTACAGATAAATTTTGGTACGTTGCTTTGAACGGAAAAAAAGTTCACCGACCCCTAATCATCCAAAACGAGTTCACCGTCCCTCGGTACTCCTTCACCGACCACCGGGGGTAATATTGCCTTCGTTGAAAAGCACTGGTTTAAAGTTTAAATAAACTACTGATTTATTGATAAATTATTTGAAAATTTCTCATAACTAATGGCTTAATGAGTACTATATTTAAGGTGTTTTTGAAAAGTTGAAGTTATTTATAAGCATATTTGCTGAGGTGACTCATTAAAAATGTTTTGAAATTATTTTTGAAAATTTTATTTTAAAAATGAAAAATCTTATATTTCTTACAAATTTCTCATAGAATCAATATGTAACATTGTTTTTAAGCTTGCTGTGCGTTTTTTCTTTTCTATCACTAGAATAAAAAAAATTTGTTGTGACATGTTGATTTGTATGAAAAATGTATTTTATTGTTAAATAATCATAATCATCTACAGTAGAACCCGTTTAAGACGCTCTCACTTAAGATGATCTCTCGGCTAATATGTTCATTTTTACAACTCCCTTGATTTTGACATCATTTTGTTCCCGCGTTATACGATTTCCCACTTTAGACGCTATTTTTAACTTGTTCTTTGGAAAGCATCTTAAATGGGTTCTACTGTATTTGAAAATCTATTTTTTTTATACAAAAACTATTCAACGGCACATTTAAAATTTAGTGGAAATATTTGGTATGTATTGGTTGGAAACACTTTATTAGGCACACACAAATTACTGGTTGGATTAAATATGAGGGTTTTAACATTTTATTATATTTAATCTTCCAATATTATTAGAAAACAAACAATAATATGGTTTATGTAATATGCTGTACTTCCTTATTATAGTAATGCAGCCCGGTAACAATTTTATTATATTTTCCCTGGCCTACTAATTAGTATAATTAATGTAAATAACTTTTAATATTGGTAAGTTTTATGGCCTCCCTAAGTCTAGATTTTAACTCATGTGAATTTACTTTTGAAGTTTTATGAAAAATAAAATTTATACCAACAAAATTAATTATAGAGATTAATTTTTAATGTGCATTAATAATGTAGTTGATATTATTGATCAAACTCCAAATTTATTATAAAGAAATTGTATCTCATTACATTGTTGTATTAATAAGTGTATTGGAGTTAACAAGTATCACATTAAACTGTTACCATAGAAAAAAATTGATTTTCAAATAAAATATATTTGGTTATGATTATTTTACAATGTTATAACTTTATTAATTAATCAAATATGAAAAAAATAAATACATTTTTAAACCGTTTACCTTGCAGAGTTCAGCATTTGATCAATACTTGATGTATTACTTTACCCATATTAAATATTTATTAATTTCTAAATTGGATTGTTAATTAAATATTTTATAATATTTAATATATTATCAATAAATTATATTATATTATATTATAGGATGGTGTAGGAATATTCAATCACGATGATGGTATAAAAGTTTATTGGGTTTCATTTTTGGATGGTTTACAACGTATTCTTATGTTTACTACTGATGCCAGTATTGCTGAAGAATGTCAAGCCTCAAGTAAACTTGAAATTATAAACAGAGAAATACTTATTTCTATACATTCATTAGGATTGTCATTGGTGAATAATGATATTTGTATGGAACTAATGTATTTGAGAATTGGAAGGTAAAATTTGTTATATTTATTATTTAATAATTTTTATAAGTCAATTCCCCCCATCCATACTATTATAAAGTATATGGAGCTTGGTAAAAAAAGCTTAATGGTAAAAAATGAGGATTAAACTGAATTTTTCATCAAATCTCAATATCTTACATTTCTATTACACTAATCAGCTATTCTGGTGGTCTATTTGGTATGTATTATATTGTCTGTACAGACAATTTCTGTACATCATATTAATGCTATACTTCTTCTTCTTCTATGGTTAAAAAGGCCTTTCAAGACCATCCCATCTCACACCCATTCCTCCATTCTTCTCTATCCATTGCTCTTTCTTTCCAATTTGTTTCTCCGCCTAGCGATTGCACATCTTTTTTGGCTAAGTTTTCTTGTTTTTGGGTTTTCCCAACGGTCTTTTTCCCATGCAGGTTTTGTTTCATCACTGTTTTAATTAATTAATTTTGATTCCTCCAAGTATGGTCTGCCCATTGGAGTCTGCTCTTTTATCACCTTCGTTATGATTGTGCTTTGGAATACAATTTTGAGCTCTGTATTTTTCTTCCTTCTAGATTCTACGCTGATGTTATCTTTAACTGGTCCAAAGATTTTCCTCAATATTTTTCTTTCCAGTATTAAAAATTTATTTTCGTCAGATTTTCTTAGCAGCCATATTTTTGTTCTCTACAGAAATACTGGACGGATCAGTGTAATGTATAATTAATTTCTTAGTTCTTTATATAATACTGGGAATCCTAGTCTTTACTAACCTATAGTAACATTTATTGCCCTTACCTAGCTATATCATTATGTTTTGTTACCATTGTTACTAGATATTTAAATTGCTGCACTTTGTTGAAGTTATATTTCCATACATTCGTAGGTGGGTGCAATTATCTTCTACTAACAGATATATATGCTGTTTTTCCTTCATTACTCTGTAGTCTTACTTTCACTGCAGTTTTTTCTAATTTTAGGAATACATTTTTTAAATTTTTTTGTGATTCTTTTAATAAAACTACATCATCCACATATGCTAGTAATCCTAGTAATCCTATTGATGAATCTTTTAGTCTATAGCCTTGTTGATTGATATTACTTTCCCTTATTACTTTTTCTAAAACCAGGTTAAATAAGATAGGTAATCTACCTACTATTGTAGATAGGCATCAAGAACCCACGTTGTCTTTAAAAAATTGTTATTTTTTTTTATATTTACCATCAAGTTTATTAACTTGTTGGTACAACTATCTGGTTCTATGGCCTCGGTAATTAAATTCAGCACTTTCTATTATGCTTTTCATATATTTTCTTTTTTCACATCTAATTATATTATGTGCGTTTTTTTGTCTTGTTTTAAATATTCTAAAATTGTCTTCATTATTTATATCTTCCAACCATTTTTGTCTCACTAACTTTTGTCTTATAATTGTTTCATCAAATATTATATAAAACCACTGTTTTATAGTGTTCTTTTTCTTTCCTAATGTTGTATCTGTCACTTCTTTAATAGTTTCCCTTAGCACCTCCCATTATTTGTAGCATTTTTTGTTTCAAAGTCAGTTCAATATTTTTTTTTGTATGTATTGTCTATATTCTTATTCTTCAATTCTTCAATATCGTACTTTACTATTCTATTTACTTGTTTTTGTCTTTCCATCTTCCTTAGCTTCATTTTTATCCATATACCCATTAATAAGTGGTCAGAGTCCATATCTACTCTATGTAGTGTTCTTATATTGGTAATACAGTTTTTTAAGTTAAAATTGATTAAAACATGATCAATTTGGTTTCTATGGTTTTCATCCGGAGATATCCACGTATACTTATGGATGTCTTTATGAGGAAATATCAAGCTTTTTATACTCATTCCGCTTACCATTGCAAAATCTATTAGCAAATTCCTATTATTGTTAATTTTTTCATGTAAACTATAGCCCCCAATTGCTCTGTATTTCAATTCTCATTCTACCTTTGCATTAAAGTCTCCTACGATTATTTTAATGCTTTCCGCTGAAGAGTTATCTTCTTTATCTTGCGCAGGCGCATGTACATTAATTATTACCATATCTAAGTCATTTGTTTATAAAGTTATAGTCGATATTCTTGGATTGATGTCTTTGAAGTTTTTAACTGTTTATGTTATTAATGCTATACAGCAAAATAATATGAGTCTTCCTATTATAGAAGCCATTTGTCCAACATACAAAATAACTCCCCTGGTAATATTCTTACTTGCATTTAATTGTTACTTAGCTTCCCAGTTTCCCTCTTTCTTTCTTTTTCTCTAATTTAATTTCCATAAATACCTCTGTTTTACCATGTAATACAGTGTTTTCAATATTTGTCTTACAGCAACATATCATTAAAATATTTCATATTTTGCAACATACCAAAAAAAGTAAAGTCAAAGTCAAACTAAAATTTATTTTTTATTTTAAGAGGCGCATTAAAATATTTGCCTCAGCGATTATAAATAAACAATACAATTTACTATATAAAATAACTAGAAAAGCAACATTTGACAATAAATATAATTAAAGTACAAAGCCTTCTGAGAGGAAGAAATTAACGATGGAAGTAATAAGGAATGCATTAGGAAATTGGAAAATATATGGGAGGCTAAAGGGAATATTAATGGAAGAACAGATATTGGAGAGAAGCTGGCATTTAGTGAGAAGGTCTGGAGAATCGAAGAGGAGATAGGAAGCATTGCATATAGCAGGATCAATGTGCCAAGTAAAGAAGGGAGAATCATTAAGAGATAAATGAAATGAGTAGGCCGGGAGGCAGTTGTGGCTGAACCGGAATTACTAACTAAAATCTTATTTAATATAAAATCTATTTGTGTATTAGTATTTTATTTTAATAAGAAATAATTAAATTATAATTTTATTAAACTTATAAGTTTTAAACAATATAATTTAATATACTTCATTTTATCAAATATCAATTCATATTTTGTCATTTAATATACATTATGACACATTTCTTATCCTAATTGTTTACCATCCACCCATTATGGACTTATCCCACGACCATTAGTATCATAAGAAACCCTAATATTATATGTCAAAATGTAAATAAACTATTCTCTGTTGTTCCTAAACTATCTTTCAAACCAGATATAAATACTAATTATATTCTAATAATTTATAAAAAAATAAAAATACAATACTCATTGTGATTTATTATATCATCACATTTATACATGGTAACAACTTATCTATTTTTTTTTAGTTCTGGGGTGATATGGGAAACTAAAAAAATAAATGGTTCACGTTACAAGCCATTGACTCAAAAAGAATGTGAATTAATTGAAACAGCTTATATACGTTACACTAGAATGTTAGAAATTGGTGAAAATGAACCTATTGTCTTGATCAAAGAATTAAACATTGAGGTATTTTGTATACATTTTATTTTTCAACTATTCTTTTATGTTAAATACTCTAATTTATGTTTTAGGTTAATTTTGCAGAAAACATTGTCACTAAACCTTCTAAAAAGAATATAAGAAGGGTATATAATACAGGATTTTGGCTCAATTTGCAATCTTCTGATTATACATCTCAAATACATGCTAAAATAAATAATTTACAAATCGATAGTCAAATAGATAATTGTATATTCCCTGTTGTTTTTGCTCCTGTTCCTCCACCAAAAACCATTGCACATACAGGTTTGTTAAAATAATTATTATAATTATATCTTTATAAAATTTTATCTAAAAATACATTAAAAAATATAAATGATTAATACAATCTATTAATAATAATTTAAACTTACATATTTCAGAGCGAAAACCATTTGTAGAACTTAGTATTGTTGAAAGATTAAATAAATATAGTACAGTTAAACAATATAAATATTATAAAATGCTCATTCAAGAATTTCACATTAAACTTGATATTGGTTTCATCAATGCTTTAATAAAAATGACAGAAAAATATGAGCTCTCGGAAGAAGAAAGGGTAGGATACTTTCAATTTTTTTAATATATTGTCATTTATATAGTAGAATATTTTCTCCTATTTATAATGAGTGTTTATGTTAGTTGAAAATGTTTATTGAAGATTTAACCTGTGCTAGCAAGCCATTACATTCCCAAATGATTACTCTTTCTTTACAAGAACAAAAGAATTATTATGACATACTTCATTTTTCTCCGCTTAAGGTAAATAAATACATAGTATTTTTATGTTTATTTGTAAGTCATAACTTATTAAAAATATTTGATATTAGGTATATTATTATATTAATTATTATTTTTTTTTTTTATATATAATTTAAGATACATGTTACATTTTCATTGAGTGGAGATGAATTGGAAAATATTCCTCCAATTATTAATATAATTTTGCAAAGTATTGGTGTAACCATTACTAGTGTTCAAGATGTTGTTTTGAAGTAAGTTTTGTATACGTTACGAAATGCACGTGAAAAATATTTTTTCATGTGTATAAACTTTGTCATACTGTGTGACACTATTAATTCCATAAAATGGGTATAACAAATTAACATAGAATATAACTTGAATATTTTCAAAAAAATATGGATTTTATTTTTATAATAACATATTTGTGTAATTATATAAATTATACTTAATATTCTTATAAAATGTGGGTGTAAATAATTTTTATATTTGGTATTAATAAACAAGAACCCAAATTGTAACAGTTAATTGTTATTATTTTATTTATTTGAATATTTACAAATAATATGTTAAAATTATTTGGAATTATTTTTACTAAAATTGAATTGTGCATTAAATATCTGAGTGATGTAAATAAAATAAAAGAGTATTATTTGGATTATTCAATAAAAACATAATAATTCTTTACTATGCTTATTAAATTTGTGTTTTAATTTGACAAATGCATTTTAATATATTTATTAATTTCATATATTATAAACCAGCGGTTCTTAACCTGTGGTCCGCGGCCCTCTAGGGGTCCGTGATAATCATGTAGGGGGTCGGTGGCAGCTCTAACACATAACATACATCAATACATGACATGAGTGCATTATTATAATATGTTTGGATTAATATTATTATTATTATTTTTCATATATTTTTTATTGTATACCTAGTAAATTTTATCATTATATGATGTTATAAAACTTATATCTCAACCATCGTATAAAGCTAATAAAAATTAAATTTTAAGAATTTTAAAAAAAGAAATTAAAACTAAAGTAATTAAATTTAAGTTAGCTAAAAAATTAAGTCAAATAAAAATAATTATAAATATGTATATTTTGTTATGCCTATTAATGTACTTTATTATTATAATTTTGGTTTTAATAACATGAGATGTTTTGTAAAAAAAAATGTACTCGAAAAAAAATTAGTAAGAGGGTCCATAATTTCTAAAGATCATTCATCAGGGGTCCGTGTTCTACAAAAGGTTAAGAACCGCTGTTATAAACAATTTAATTCATCTATTATGTGTAATTAATATGTAAATTATTCTATATGGTCATTATATTATATACTAATATTAGTTTCAACAATTAACAAAAATAATTTTTATAGGTTGGCATTTTTTGAAAGACAATATGTTCTTCTTAATCAGAGACAGTTAATGATGGAAGCTCAACATCATTATGTCAGTCAACTCATAAAACAAATTTATGTACTCGTTTTGGGTCTAGACGTGTTGGGAAATCCTTTTGGTCTTGTATCAGGTTTTAAGCAAGGAGTTGAGGATTTATTTTATGAGCCTTTCCAAGTTAGTTTCAAATTTATTAAATTAATTGATAATATTATTTTAATATTTTATAATTAAGTACACTCCAAAGTGTTTGTCTATTTTATATATAATAGACATGCATAATATTTGTTGTTCGTTATGCAGTAAAAATGTTGCATAAATGTTGCATTTTTTTTGTTTTAAAATAATTTTATGATTATATCTAATATTTTCAAACATATAAAAAGAAAATCTTGATCGACCTTTAACTAGATGTATTCTTCTATTTTATGTAACTACCAATAATTATTTTGTCAGAAATATTATTGACAAAAAATTATTATTGTTTTTACCTAGAATATAAAATAATACCATTTTCTTAATACATTATAATTATTATGTTTGAACTATTTAGTTTTAATAATTATGCTTTGATCTTTACTTAAACATTTATTAATTACTCTAGGGTGCAATTCAAGGCCCTGAAGAGTTTGCTGAAGGATTAGTTTTGGGTGTAAAAAGTTTATTTGGTCATACAGTTGGAGGTGCAGCTGGTGCAGTTGGCAGAATTACTGGAGCTATGGGTGATTTTATACACTTTAAAATATAAAAAAAAAAAAAAAACGTGATTTTAATCCTTACTTATTATTTTTAAAGGAAAAGGCATTGCTGCTTTAACATTTGATAAAGATTATCAAAAGAAACGACAAGAAATTATGAATCAGCAACCAACTAATATTCCAGCTGGATTAGCACAAGGGGGTCGAGGTTTAGTTTTGGTAATTTTTTCTATAATAAAACTAATTTATCCAGCTACAAATTTAGTTGAATTTTATATAATAGTTATTTTCTGTGAGAAAAGATAATTGATTATTGATTGTTGTATTTAATGTAGATTTATTGTTTCTTAAATGTTAAAATTGTTATTTATTAGGGTGTTGTGGAAGGTGTAGAAGGTGTTTTTGAGAAACCTATCAGCGGTGCTCGTAGTGATGGTGTTGGAGGATTTTTCAAGGGTGTTTGTCAGGGAGCTGTTGGACTTATAGCCAGGCCTTTATCAGGAGCGTTAGATTTTACCAGTGGAACTTTGAATACGATCAAAAGGTTTGTAAAATTATTTATTCATAGAGAATAGAAAAGTTATTTAATAATTATTATAAAATACATTTGTATATTTTATCCATTATTATAGCAATATATATTTTTTATTTGGTATTATTAGGGTTACCGACACAACATCAGAAGTACGACGAGTTCGTTTACCAAGGCATTTCAGAGAAGACAAACAAGTGCGACCATATTGTAAACGAGAAGCTGAAGGATATAAACTATTAAAGGTGAACAAATCTAAAGTTTTTAACTATATTTAAACAATTTTTTAAAACTTGTTTTTATACTAAATGTTTGATTGTTATTTGACTTAGGAGAAGTAAGCAATGGTGATAGAAAACATTTATTATATAAAATATCTGACACATAATTATAGAGATAAGTATTTGTGTTTAATCTTCTTTACTTCTGAACTTCTAATCACTTTTTGCTTACTTTTGCTTTTATTAATTCAATTAAACGCAAGCAACTTTATTATTAAGTATTAATCTCAATGAGATAATGTGTAATTTTTTTAAAAAACAAAAAAAAATTTTTTTTTTTTTGAACCGATGTATTGTTATTTATTTATTTTGTTATAACATTTCAAATAATTTTAGATTAGCAAATCTTAATATTGGAATTGTTTTTTAATAAAATCTTATTATAACAAGGAATATATCTTAGTTTTTGTTCATTTTCCTTTCCTGGGACTGTTTGAGGTTGTATTTGAATTAGTTAATCGATAAACTTTTAGTAAATAATGTGTTTTAACAATTTCCAAGCCAACTATGATTCTTGTAAGTTATTTGTAATCATATGGTACACAATTTAAATGTTTTTCTTATCTACGCTACTTTACACAACACAACAAATTGTTACAGATTGCTGGAAAAGGGATGTATAAAGTGACAGACAACTATATATATCATTTACGAACTACACATTCTGATAAAGAAATATTCATAGTCACGTCCCAAAGAGTTATGTACATTATTCAAAGTTACTGGACTGGCTCTTATAAAGTATTTTGTATAATGTTAATAGTATAACAATACTGTGTACTTACAAATATTATTTAAATTAGGTCCAATGGGAATATAAGTGGTCATCTATGACCAGGCACCCAAAAGTAAAACCAAATGGAATATTACTCCATGGAAAAAATGATCCAAATTTACGTCGTTGGTGGTGTTTCAAAGTTAAACAGTCTAATATTAAATTCATTTTAGTTTCGGATCCTGAATTATGTTCTGTATGTATTTTGCATGAACGTTAAAATATAAAATATTTTTTTATACTTTTATAATAATAAAATCAACTATTCTTTATTCTTTCCCAGTGGCTAGCAGATAAAATTAGTGAGCTAATGACAACTGATGATCCAGACATGAAGTCTTCAGAATCTTCTGAAATTTCTCTTTTGAATAATTTGATGTTTACAAAATAAATTAAACACCATAAGTCTCTAATACACTCACTCAGTTCACACATGGCTTAATGAATATTATATTTTTATTTTAACATTTTGATTTTATGTAGTATAATATAAAACCCCATTATAATCAAAAATGTGATTCAATGAGCTTAATTTTTTATGTGAAAACATTTTAATATAATATTTTTATTTATTTAAATATCAAATTATTTTTTATATCATTGAGTAATTTTGTTAAATATATTTTTTAAAATGCAGCTAATAATTTATTGAAAAAGTTGTCTTTATTTTACAATTTAATTTATATACTTCATAATATAATTATTTGTTTGTTATAATCATAATTTTAATTATATTACTTACTTTATAGTATATTATTTTTTTTCTTTAATTTACGTGGTACATAAATTAAAAAATATTTCTTCCTCCTATTTTCTACCTCATTATCAAATTATCTTATTGAATGTACCTTTCAAATATGATATCGCTTTGCGTATTAGGTATTGGTGGTATAAGTGATAGGTTTACCTAGAGTGTATTTCCCTTTCTCAACAATATATTTGTTTCTAGTCAACCAATCACACTAAATATATCAGTAGCAGTCTATGCTGATGATAAGGTAATTAATAATCTAAATGATGATCCTTCAAATTTACCTAGACTATCAAGGACTATTTTATAGTACATCAAATGAAGTATTAAAATAAACTCTACTCATGCCACTTTTAATCCGACATTCTCTCCTTCACCAGTAGTAACTCTCAACTAAGTTCCAATTTCTTTCTTATAGTTGAATATCTTGATCTTATACTAGATATCCGACTAATATCATATTAAAGATAAAATACTATCACTGAACAACCGTCTTCGTAAATGTCAAAACCACGATAAATATATTACAGATACATAAAATCGTGGTCAAAAATAATAAACTTATTAGATATTTTTAAGACTATGGTCGAATAAATTTTCTATACTAAGGTGACTATTTAGTTTTTAGGTATCTGTTAGGTATCATTTTAACTCTATGGAAGTATTTAGTAGACTACCAAACAAAGATGATCTAAATACTTCTGAATCAGATTTAAGTTCAACGGTAGCTAAGGCAATATTAAATAGGTTAGAAAAATAAGATGCTCTGAAACTTTAAAACCATTAACAACAATATCCAAATGCATTAATGCTGAACCAGGCAAGAACATATGCTTAGAAGAAGTAAATATTAGGAACATAGTCTCATATTCGAATACTTCAAACGTTGAAAGAAATTTAACATAGAATACCCTATATTGATGGGAACGATTATTCAGAGTTTGAACCAGAACTCGGCTACATAATTTAGGATGATACTTTAGCGATTTGGAATACTTACAGTAAAAAACTAAAATGCATTTTATTGGTTACATTTTAAGTAGTGATCCCCTGTCTGGACGGGTAATTAAGACAATAACTAAGACAATAAAAAGTTATTAGCCATTAAATATGAAAAATGTCTAACTTTAGCCAATCAGGGGTGTATTTAAGGGATGGGCCATGGGGCCCGTGTCCCCTCCCCAATTCACCGTATTTTATACTTTATTTATTATGATAGGCCCTCTTATTTTTCACTCACGAGCACATGATAGAATACTGGAATATCAATATATCATAATAATATGATACATCGATGAAACGGATTAGCATTGCTTAATATACACCCTGAAATAATTATAAGACCTGAAGAAGTAGTTGATGCATATGTGAATAAACACCCCAGACATCTTCAGTTATTGTAATTACAAAAATTATATTTAAAAATATGTTTTATTATAAATTTGTGTAATGAAATGTTATGTTTCTATCAAACACTTGTATTTTGATTATTTGGTTATGAATAACGAGAGTTTTTTAAAATGGAAAAGTTATAACTACCTATTTATACTTTGAACTTTTTGTTTGTGCCCCCCCTCCCATAAGACGTTTCTAAATACGCCCCTGTAGCCAATATTATGGAACTGAAACTAATTTGGACATACGGTCTCCAATTTTGGAAAATTGCAAAATGTCTAACCTTACTAACCAATCCTCCCAAAATATTGCTCTCTAATACATATTAAATTATATTCACCATTTAGATCTAAATCAAAAACAATTAATGAAGAAGTCAAATTCTTCTCACTCAAATCATTTAATCAAAAACCTTTTATTCCCTCAATTTCAGGTAGCTCTCTTAGATGCTTAAAACGCAAATAGTGCAGAAGTCTATTCAACAATAAATAAATAATAAAAATATCTAAAAAATAATTCATTTTATTTAACTTCAAAATCAACAATTAATATTTCATACTTGGATGGATTTTTTTACTCAATTTATGTATTTTTTATGTTATCTGTTTTAGTACCTATATTACATTTATTTAATATATGGTCAAGTTCTCGTCATGAGTAAACAAGGATTTACTGTCTACTGATATTGATTGTATATTTTGACTTAAAAAAATAATGTAAATTAATTAGGTAGGTATACAGTGGCGTCAAACAAAATTTTGAACGATCTCGTCAATAGCCAGTCAATTTACAAATTACAACAGATCCAAGCACGGATCCAGAGGGAGGGTCATGGGCGTCATAACCCCCCCCCCCCAGAAAAACATCAAGATTAGATCCTTCGTGTTTATTTAAAAATTAAAATGTGCATAGAATGCGTTTTTAATTTTTTTTCACTTAGATTTTCTCTTGCAATAAAAATGTTATACAACATATTATATTTATATACATTTAAACTACATCACCACTTGTTCATATAATCATAATTTCCATCCAACTTCTAAGAATATTAATAGTGATTATAAACTTACTGATAGACTATAATATTGTTGGCGTAATAATATAAATATAATAGTAAATCTGCGGAAATTTTTGAGTGTTCGACCTTCGATGGAAAGATAACTTATCTAAAATAACTTAGATAAAATTACTGTCAATCCGTTGGCTGATACCGAATTGGTTCCCAAGCTCCAACCCTACGTGCCGAATTGGTTCTCGTCTGAAAAAGGTATTTTATTAGGTATAGCCAAATTGTTTTCCGTTTAACTACGCACATTTTCCTTCTCAATTTTACAGGCTTAGGACTGTCAACTTTAAAGTAGGCTTGGTTTATGCGTTAATTTATGTTAAAAAAAAAAAAAAAAAATGATAAAAATATACAATTTTAAATCATTTATTTAGTAGTCAACTAGTCATCACTTAGGTGTACGAAATACAAATAATAAAATATAATAAATACTTTTTAAAACCACTGATTTGCAAATTTGAAGCTAACTTTCTTTAAATATTCAATTCTCGTACTCTGTCATACAATTTTCCAAGTATTTGTTATTTCTTTCCTGTTTGCTAGTAATTTGCTATTATATAGTAATCTATATTATATCTATTATATTTCTATACTCTATTTCATTGATATAATAATTGTCTATATGTCATACATAACATACATATACTATACATACATATAGCTTTTAAAATTTTGTTTTTTGCTTTCAATGCTCGCTTAACCCGTACACAAACGGGAACCAATTCAGCTATACCTAATAAAATACCTTTTTCAAATTTTTCAAACAGGAACCAATTCGGTTACTCCCAATCATTACCCGTATGTTTTTTATAATATTATACCATATACTTGCTATTGCACCGCTAATCACTAGGTAATTTAGGTTCTAATAACTTGTTAAAAAATACTATACATGCGATCATTTTCTACTTTCAGGCGTTTTAAGGCTTAAGGTTTCATGGCTTCGTTAAAAAAAGGGGAAGGAACGCTTTGTTCAATATTCACAAGAATATTCACATAAATATTAATAATATTATTTCTAAATTTGGAAAAATAAAATAAAGAAGGCTAAACTTTGTTATTTAATTTTAAAAATTAACAATTTCATATATTTATAACGTTCTTATTTTAATTAATAATTTACTTTTATTATTTTGTAAGTGTGTATTATCTTTTTGTACTTTCGAAAAAATGATTACCCCAATTTGAGTTCTAGATTCGTGCTTGAACAGATCCACCCAAGGATTTACTTTATTGGTCGGGAGTTCACCCCCTCCCAAAAGTGTTTAATCTATTTCAACATTTATGATAGCATTTAGATACTTATACATTTTAAATTACAAAAATTAATTGGGCAGTATTATAATTTACAGCGAGTCGGATTAATTTACATATTAATCGTATAAAGAATCTACCACGGTATCACCCAACATCCTAAAATATAGTCTGGTCATGACTAGACTTAAACCCTGAGTTCGGCGCCATTGTAGATATATAAACTAAAAATGTATGTAATAAATATAAATATTGTGCTGAGAGTTATTAAAATAAATATATATTTGAGTTTAATTAATTTTCTTTAGTAATATTAATATAATACATAACACGCTATAATCATTAACACTAACAAGTAATGATGATATAATCTGTGGCGGATCTACACACGGGGCAACACGGGGCAGCTGCCCCAGGGCGCCAGGTCTAAAAGGGCGCCTAAAGAACCAATGGGTTGACTGTATTTTCGTTTATTTTAAGTTACTAAAAATAATTTTTTGAAAACATTTTTAAGAAAAAGTATCCATGTAGGTCACAATTGCAGTCAAAAGTTTGGCGAGCTGTCGAGTTTAAGTTAAAATATTTTATGTTGTCTAGTGGAATAGTGGGGGGGGGCGCCAAAAAAACTACCCCATGGCGAAAAAATGTGTAATCCGCCACTGGATATAATGCCATCATGAGAGGGTGCTAACTTTATACTTTGACCTGGGTCACTAGCTCCATTTAATTTCTTACGAATACAAAAATGTCCCTACTGTAGGTAGTATCTACCTACCTAATAATATTACCATATTATGATGATTTTAATAATTAAGAACCCAAATACTCCCTGAGAACTATACATATTTCACATAAATAATTTTATCTATTTATATTCAATAGCACAATTGATTACTCACTTAAAAGTTCAATAATGCTCAACCTTTCTCTTCGGCAGGCTACAAAGTATAAAAGTCCAAATAATATCAATATTAATCTAATAATATAATTTTGTTGCAAATAGGCAGTAGGTATACAATATACATGTATGTATATATTGGACTTGTTTT